AACAGCCAGTGTCTGAAAACTCGATCCAAAGAAATAATACGAAAGACGACACCTTGCCGAAAAAGATTTTTAAAAAACGAAGACAATTTTAACATTTGAGATAAATAGAGTATAGAACCCTTTGATTGTTTTCAAATTTGAGTGAAATCTGTGTCACTACAGGCCCGGGACTGTACAGCGCAGTGGACGCTTACGGCTGGCCCCCGGATCCATTCACTTAATTTGAAATTTGTTTATTTGGTGCAATGTCTATTTTCTGTCTTGTCCGCAGGTTTATCTTGTAGATTTTTGTTTTACGTGTAGTGCGGTCCTCCTGCACTTACTATTAGAGTAATATATGACCGACATAAGTCATATGAGTTCTATATATTATCAAAAACCTATGTTAAATGTCCTGTTTGGTAAACATATCTTTGCCAACATTAATGTATTTGAAATATACTTTATTTACCTAATTATTTCTCCTGTAAAATACGCGTTGAATTAAACAAGACACTGGCATGAGTGACATATTGTCTATATAAAAACACAGAGTAAAACTCTTTACAATCCAATGTCAACCGGCCTCTGGGCTACAAACTTTCTTGTCTAAATTTAGGAGAGACTTATTAATCCAGCCAATGGCTATTACGTCAGATATAATTTAGAATATGCATTTAAGTCTAACAATGGAGGCATTAAGAATTGGTCATTGATAAAACGAACTACTGTTTTAAGTCTAAATGTAGAAGCAATATTTTATAGCTTAATTGTCAATGTGTCATGATTGTTTATTATACATGAATATTTTGTAACGGGGATTATGTGGCTAAGTGGGTAAGACGCTGGCTCGCTAGCCTGGTGGTCGGGTGTTGGATCCCTGCATTGGCCGAGAAAGTTCATCCAGATTTTCCGGCGTGGTTCGCCCATGTCAGTGATGCAGGACAGAGGGCCTGACAAGGACCGCTGTCTAGTCCTTCGGATGAGACGAAAACCCGAGGTCCCGTGTATACATTGGAAAGCACGTAAAAGATCCCTTGGCAGTTGGAATTCGATATAAGAGAAGGCGATAGTGCCGCTGCCCGGGCAAAATTTCCCTCATAGCACACTGTATGGCGTATGTCCGTATTCATTAGCCCAGCATAGGAGCAGAACAGTAGGACGTTAAACCCCATTTCATTTTATTTTATATATTTTGTAGAACTGTACTTCAAATGCAGAGTAAGCTATGATTTAGAACGAATCGGATCTCCCTCTTTCTTGTAAATATTTGTTGAATTATCTATATTTAATAAATCACATAGCAGTTACTTGGACTCGGTCTCAGTTTAATAAGACCAGAAATAACGTGGTCACAAAAGATATCTTTCAAAATGGAATCCAATGTAGTGTGTGATCATACTGGCAGGTTTGTTCCTTAGAACTGACAATGGATACCCACAAAATTGCCCGTTATTTTTTCTGTTGATTGTGTTACTTACTCAGGTGATAATTCCGATTCTGGTTGGGATAATCCCGCCCCCCCCTCCCTCTCCCCTTCCCCCATCTTCCAGCACCGCTGTAAAATCATGTAATTTTCATCGATTATCATATATTGAACATCATAACACACACTTACCTGAAGCACACTACATCCAGTGCCTTTTGCCATGACCGTCAGTGATGTAGGAAAGGCTATAATTGGTGTTGTGTGTTGAACAAGACTATTAGTACTGTTGATATCATAGGTCTTGGTATAATCAAAGGTATCAATAAATACATTTAAAGATGGCGCACCTTTAAACATCATGGCGGCGTAAGTAGACAAAGCCTGAAGAGCTACAATTGTGTCCTGAAAATAGTTCAAAATGAAATCAGAAAATCAGATTGCTGGACATGGTCGAAATGGCGGATAAGTGGCGGGCCCCGGATATTTGGTAAGAGGGGGTCTCAGGGTCGGGGTTATGGTCAATGGTGAATTGTGAAGCTACAACCTGCTTTAAAGGTCCGTGACTATACAGCGCAGTGGAAGCTTAGGGCTGCCCCCCCCCCCCCGGATACATTCGCTTCATTTGATATTTGTTGTTTATTTCGCGAGTTTTTATCTTGTCCGAAGGTTTATTGTCGGGTTTGTTTTGCGTGTAGTACGGTCCTACGGCACTTACTAATAGTGATTGAAATTCTGAAACATAAGACTGTGGCTCATCACAGGCAAGCGAGACTACTACATTACAATTTCTGAGAGAGAGAGAGAGAGAGAGAGAGAGAGCTTAAACGTTCACTTAACACAAAATAGGTCTATTTGGGATTAACATATGATACAATTTTCTTTCAATAATTCGCGTGTACGTAGGGGGCTTTAGCAGTGTAAGCAATCCGGGATATCTGAAGGAAACCCACAAGGATGGGCAGGCGACCCCTCTTCTTGTCACGTAGAAGCTAGAGCTGGAAACCACACATCTTGACTAAATGGCAGTCCTTACGATATATATTTGCCCCTCTCGCCCCACTCTTTATAAACCACAGTTTGTCTTTCTACCGAACTTACAATTTAGGTCAAACCCGTTATTTTTTTTAGTTCTCTTCGGGGTCACGATAAATTTACAGCCATTTGTGTGTTTTCTTTACAATTTCAGAATTTAAAATGTTACCACTGGGAAAGTGTAAACAACCATTTTTGTTTTTAAATTATTTTCTTTCCAACTCCACTATTACATGCCACTGTTCAAAATATACTCTTCAAAAAAAGTATGGGATATTCAGAAACAATACAAAACTGCGGAAATGCACTGCTGTTTTTATTAGAGGTAACCAGTTAATAACAGGCCAATTACCTACACATGTTCATAAACAGTTCATATGGACGGCTTATCTGACGGTCCCATTTCACTCGCAAAGAGATACACTGTCAAAAGTGAAAATGGACGTTTTTGATTTTTGCCTTAATAATGAGTAATTGCTCTATCAATCCTCAGACATTCAGCAATTCGTCGTGGCATGCTCCTAATCAGCCGTCCAATCACGATTTGGGGCAATCTGACCCACTCCTCTTGCAGTGTCACGGCCAATTCTTGCAGTGCTGTCGGTTACGTTGACGTCGACGAACACGTATCCCGATCATGTCCCAGACATGCTCTATAGGGGAAAGGTCAGGACTCATGACTAGCCAAGGCATATGAACAATATGGGGACACTGGAGGTAGTCATTCACGACACGAGCGCGTTGGGCACGGGCATTATCATCTTGAAAGATGAAACGTCGACTTGCACGTTGAGCTAAGGGCAGAACTATCGGTGCCAGGATGTGGTCACGGTAGTACACACCAGTGACCCTTCCTTGAACAATATGCAAGTCCGTTCTGCCAGTCATGGTGAATCCTCCCCACACCATAACAGTCCCACGCCCGAATCTGTCATGCTGTCTGACGTTAACGTTAGCATGACGCCCATTTAGACGCTTCCAAACGGTGAAATCCAGAATAAATCTGGACTCATCTGAGAACATTACACGCCCCCATCGCCGATTACCCCAATTTCTACGCTGCCTACACAATTAACGCCTGTTTGCCATGTGCTGGCGAGTTAATGGGGGTACAAAACGCGGTCGTCGCGCATGTAAATGGACTGCATGTAGCCGATTTCTAATCGTTTGGGGGGTAACTCGAATTCCTGTAACTTGGTACAAGTTTACAGAAAGCTGATTGGCCGTTTGTCCGCGATTTCGCAGGACCTGTGTACGAATGTATCGATCCTGGGCTTGTGTAGTGGCTCTAGGACGACCTGAACGAGGTATATCATCAACATTGTGTGTTTGTTGGTACCGGTTCCACAGTCTGCTGCTCGCTGTGCAGAACCCATTTGAAGCATGTCAATAACACGTAGATGTTCATCATGTTGAAGACGTCTCATTGCAAATTAAACGTAACACACTAAAGCAAAGATACGCTAAACAATAAATCATATGCAAGAACCGATAGGAAAGCAAACATGGATAGGGTAAACCAGTACGTGGCAGTTTTCATCAACCCTCCTTGAGGTGTCAAATTTGACAATGAACCCCTCCCACGTGTATGTCCCTATTGCGTGTCGCACGTGCAGCTCAGTGGTTCTGTTGGGGCGATAAGTTCTTCATTTGTGAACATACTCTCAAAGCATGTTAAGTGTCCATGACTATTTATCATATCAGAACCTGCATAGGTATTTGCATTTCAATATCCCCTACTTTTTTTGAAGAGTATATATTGGTGCTTGAAATTAAATCAAGTTATGCTTGAAGGTAATCTAGTACCATCACGTTCTAGTTCAAAGACAAATTGACCTATCTGTACTGCTAACAATTACACAACGTCATAACAGAAACTCCACGCTTTGAGGGTGTTCAACATGTACGGATTCAACGTCAATATACAAGAAGCCGAATAAACTACAATTAACCTGGATACTGTTTTTCTACCAACAAAAACACGTTTGAACACTGCATTGACAGTCGTCAGATTTAGACTTACCTACAGGGTGATCACTTTCTGACACAAAGAAGGGCTATTTTAACACATGGAAAATGCATTTCTCTTGTAGAGTGATGGCGCTACACAGGTCATATTAAGGAATGTTGTTAACATTTAATTTCCAATAGAAATGTAACGAGGTTTAGTGTCCTACCGACCTTGTGAAGACAGGCATACTATCTCAGCTGAACTACTAAACGATTTTCTCTTGCAGGAACCCTCTGTCCTGCAGGAACCCTCTGTCCTGCAAGAATCCCAAGGGGAATCCTGATGGACTTTCTCAACCAAAGAAATGCTCGCACCCGGAACACCATTACATACTCAACAAGCCGAAATGGTCTAGTTTGTGTCGGGTGGAGGTACCCCTCACCCCTCTCTCTCTGTCTCTCTATCTCCATAATAACAAGTACGATTGTACTATGGACCAGGAAGTGATCATGTTGTTGGATGAAATTCAAAAATCTAGATCACCAAATCGATGCAGAGGTGTTCAAAGAAGGAGCATGCCAAGAAGAAGAAGAAGAAGATGAGTAGCGGTTAGGGACTAGTTCCTGGTCCAAAAATAATGAAGCTAGTGTCCCGACGACTGAACAGGCTTACCTGAGTCGACATGAAACCACCATTGGGGTTCTGCTGTTCTGTCAACCATCTCACTATTCTCAACATTTTAGTAAACTGTGGATTCGGGTCGGATTGGTAAGCTAATAAAGCATAAGATGTAGTCTCAATATCCAGGGCCGAGGCACGTTTATATTGTGTATTTCTGTTGTGAGTGCTTCTTTCGGGTTCTGGTTTAGCCTTCCAAAACATCATATTATCTGATGATATAAAACAAGATATTGTCTGATCATAAAAATTAAGATGATATGACATATTGCATAGTCTAGTGATATGAAATATGATATTGTCTGGTGATATTTTTTTATAAACAATATTTTATTCATAAATCAATAGTATTGGAGATACGATATTGTCGGACGATATGACATATGATATTGTCTGATGATATATTTTTTTTATAAACAATATTTTATTAATTAGTGAATATGATTGGAGATACGATATTGTCGGATGATATGACATACTTTATTGTCTAGTGATATGGAATATGATATTATCTGGTGATATTTTTATAAACAATATTTTATTCATAAAGGAATAGGATTGGAGATGTAATACTGTCGGAAGATATAAAATATGATATTGTTTTGTTGATTTAAAATAATATAATATATCGTTTAGTGATATGAAATACGATTTTGTCTAGTGATGTAAAATATGATATTATCTAGTGATATGGGATACGATATTGTCTAGCGATATAAAATATGATATCGGCATATTCGTAAACAATTCGGCATACTCGTAATTCATTTGTAACTGAATCGCTACAATTTGTACCTTTATCATAACCCTATCTTGGCATTTGGCATAGTTTTCTCTCCATTGCCCACGAATTATCATAACAAATTCGTAAACTATTCGTAACTTTTTCCGAGCTACCCTAACCCTTCGGGCGATTCGTGACATTCGTAGCCCACGCGAAAGAGGGATATTTATAAAACCGAGAAAATCGTAGTCGATTCCTAGTCGATTTGGGATACTTCGAGTCGGTTTCGCGAATTTTAGGGAGCCATGAATGACCGCGAATATCAAAGAATCGATACGAAATTCGTAGACCGACCTGAAAGTTTATGACAAACAAAAACGTTCGTGTTCGAGCCACGAACTGCCACGAACAATACGAATGTGTAAGAAACCAAATAAGAATCATTCACGAACTTCAAGAGCCGTCTACGATTTATCTACGAATGGATTCGGGGCTATTTGTGACATTCGTATACCACGTTAAAGCCCCAATCATAAGAGTTTAAAGGACAAAGGACATTTAATCTTTACTGATAGATAATTTGTATGTCTGTAAAATTAGAACAATAAGATCTCTTAACGTCTTTATAAAAGATATCCGGGTTTTAAGTTTTCAGTTCTCACGCAATCCTCTCCTAAATTTAGATTAATGTTGCTGGTTTTGAAATGCTTCAGACCAAGATTAAAAACAAAAACTATAAAAGTGTGCGCAACCTTTTTTTCGAAACTAAAAAGTCTCAGAACAAACTGATTATAAAAACTACTTCCAAATCATTTCTTGTGGGGTTTCTTCTGTCCCAGCCATGTGCAATTAAGACTAGCAGATAAAAACAGCAGATTACAGTTGCTTGTTTTATAACAACTATTTTCAAAATTAGATAAGGGCGAATTGATCCATTCCAGCGATGTACTAGTATGCCTTTTAGATAAAACTAGAGCTCAAAATAAAGACCTGATATAAACTACACAGATTTATAATAATGGCGGTTGGCATCTATCTATATCTGTTCAGGGTTGGCGCCCACATTAGGGCTGTCTCGAGGCTGAAATTTGGTGTATATGGGTGGCTCGGTTAGATCTATTACACATGACCACCTCATGGGCGTCACACATGGGGGGGGGGGGGTCCCTCCCCCCCCCAATTGTTTTTCTGGGGGCGGGGGGGGGGGGGGTCTGAATTTACTTGGACCCCCCCTCCAAATAAAAAAACAAAAAAAAAACAATTACATAGTTGGCCCAAACTCCTATTTATTTACAAAAATTATTAGGATTAGTTAAGATTCTATCTGTATAAAACCTGACATATACCAATATGGTTTATACTGCTAAAATAAAACACAGAGATAATCATCCTGGAAACATGTGTGAAGTGAAAAGTACCTGTGTTCCATAAAATTGTGTCTAGTTAGCCTGTCAGTAATATTTTGTTAATTTTTTTCTGCCACTTATCAGAGTAAATCGCATGTAGGTACCCAAAAACATAACCGCCTAAACCAAATATTTATCGCCCGCTCAACCAGGAACGTAACCATAATGCTTTTGCACGCGGTGTCTTGGTAGACAGCATGGCCACATGGTGTTTGTTTATATTTTTAGGGGTTTCAAAAAATGGGTTAGGGTTAGGGTTGCGGACCCCCCCCCCCCCAATATATATTTCACGGTTATGCCTCTGGACCACCTGCAGAGTTCGTCATAGGTCATGAGATGTAAACAGGTCTAGCGCCAACCCTAACCCTATCCCTTACCCTAACCCTAACTCACAATCCTCGACAAAAATACGTGCTCTAACCCTATTTACATCTCGTGACCTTGGAGAAATCTGCAAATGGCCATGTGAAATAGATCTAACCGGGGTAGCTCCGACCGGGCACTGATCTATATATATATGGCCACAGATCACTAAACATTTGTCCATTGACTTTAATTTTAATTCTCGTCTCTTAGACCGGCTCTAACTTATTCCCAAATTTTCGTTGGGTAGAACGCTTCCTACCACAGATGGAGCAACATGTGGCAACCTCTTGCCCAAAAGCACGTATGAGGTTCACCATGGAAAACTTGAGATACACAAGCTGGAAGTAGAGACAAGAAAACATGCAATTTTGGACCCTACATTTCAACCTAACCAACCTCTCAACTCTTGTATCCTTCCGCCTCAAAATCATGAATATTCACCAAAACCTGGTAGAAAATGTATTTTCAAACCCTTTTCTTCGATTCTACACCAAAAAGTCAACAAAAATCGCCATGCAAAAGGGTGAAAAAGGGAAAGGGAGAGAAAGACTAAAAATAACTTGGTGGCTGTGTCCATATAGATCAGTGGGACCGGGGAGTAATTTTGGCGTAGTGACGACGGCCTACCACTTACGGTTTCGGAATTATGCTACTTCCGGTTTATGGCTCTACCCGTGCTATACCGGGCCAACCGCTAGTTACTGTTATTTTTGCATTATCATATGTAATTATTACTACGGATAATTAGTTATTGGGCACCCCTTTCAAACACCAATATCTCATATAGCTATGTTCACATTCTATTGTTAAATCTGTACATCGATAACACTATTTTATAATTCTGGAAAACTTTACCTTGTTCACGTCATTTTACATCCTCCCTTCCCCCCTCCCCCAAAAGTTAAATAATTGAGGAGATGCCAGTGCTGACATTATAAAATATTTTATTAATTGATCAGACTTTGATAGTTTATGCATTTGTGGTATTTGATTGATAATTTATGAATTTGTGGTATTTCAGTTGTTTGATATCAGGACAGCGGAGTATACCTGAAACAGAGAAAGCACTTTTCTGTCCACGTAAGAGGCTTAAATATTAGGAGCAGAATAACAAGAAATATTGTGGCATCTTCACTTCATCTAAATTATTCGGAGTATGATATATGTTTTTTAAAGATGCCAGGAATCGAACAAAAACTTCTAAAAAAATCAGTAGATCTGGCCCCGTGCATCATCTTCGGGAAAACTAGGTGCACGCAATTCTTTAAATATATACATAATACAGGTATTGCCAGACATAGAATATACGCCCAATAGCAGCATTTTATGGGGTGAGTGTGCAATAACTAAGTAACTCGGAATTTCGATACGGATCCTCGTTAGGACTATTCGAACAAACAAACCCAACAGGTTTGAAAAAAAATCTTGAAAACTCTGAGCTGTAGAGCTATACAAGGTTTTGATGACAGGGGTAGTAACTTTTCAAAATCGTTCTTGGATATTGGATATCGATAAGGATTCCTTATCCGAATATAGTCCAGAAATCTAACAAAACACCTCAAATATTCTGTCCTGTAAAGCTTTTAAAAAGTTTCAGTGACAGCTCTAGGACTCTCAATTTCAATAAGGTTACTTATTAGAGATACCTAAACAATTCCAGCAATTTAAAACAATCATAAAGATCTCTGATCTATATAACGTCTACAATCTCCGTATTGGCTAACAGACCGATACGTGGACGGACGTGACGACAGTATACGCACCACCACATGAAATAGGGGCGTATACAAATAAAGAAACTGACAAAATTGATTTTATCCGAAAAAAAAACCACCACCTTCTTTAAAAGGATATAAGCACTGAATCGCCTGAAGAAAATATAGTGACCTAATCGACCAGATAATGCAATTGTTGAAGCAAACCATGTTACCTTTACATTACTGGGGGGTTGGATGCCCGAATGGTTAGCACATGCGCGCTGTATAATAAGGTCTGTCATTGAGTCAACTTGCGTGGTTTCGATTCCCGGTTGTACGTGACAAGGAGTAGGGTCGCCTGCCCAACCTCGTGGGTTTTCTCTGGGTCCTCCGATTTACTCCTACTGCTAAAGACCCCAACGCGCAAGCGAATTATTGAAATAAAATTGAACCATGTGTTAGTCCCTAAATCACCTAGATTGTGTCGAGTGGACATTAAACCTATATGGAAAGCACAAGGATTCTTATTTTCAAACGGGGGGGGGGGGTGCCCGAATGGTTAGCGTGTGCGCGCTGTATCATAAGGTCTGTCATTGAATCAAATGGCGTGGTTTCGATTTCCCAGTTGTACGTAACAAAGAATACGGGCGCCTGTCCAACCTCGTGGGTTTTCTACGGTCCTCCGGTTTCCTCCCACTTCTAAAGACCCCCCTCTCTCTCTCTCTCTCTCTCTCTCTCTCTCTCCCCATTACTCTTAGCCCAGTTGGAGCAGAACCGTGGGATGTTAAACCCCATTTCATTTAATCTATTAATCTACTCTGGTATATTCAAACACAACCAAGAGAAACACTACTCACCTTTAACTGTCGCTCGACTTTCTAACTCTTTAACCAGTAGTTTGTGCCATGAACCCCCTGGTTCGTATAAAGCCGCCACATAATTATAAACAGCTACAGCGTAGGTCTTCTCCGGCGGTACTTTCGACTGTAAGTAGTTTACAGCTTTAACTACTTTAGGGTGCTGAAAGTCAAGGGAATAAATGGTGTCCAATCTTAATCAACGGTTATGGTTATGTTATCAGAAGGAAATTAGTCAGAGAGTTTTATTTGATTACTGAATTATAGTTACAAAGTATTGTGGAAAAGCGGTCAAATTCTCCATCCTAAGACTGTGGTAACAGTCCAATGCGCCATCCTACAACTGTGGTATAATGGATAAATTCTCCACCCTACTACCACGGAATAACAGCCAAATGCCCCACCCTACAACAGTGGTAAGAGCCAAATTCGCCACCCTACAACTTTGGAACAATAGCCAAATTCTCCACCCAACACCTACAACTGCAGAATAACGGAATAATGGCCAAATGCTCCACCCTACAACTGTGGAACAACAGCCAAATTCTCATCAAACAATCTGGGACCAACAACCAAATTCTCCACCCTACAATTACGGAATAACAGCCAAATTTTCCAGCCTAAAGTTGTGGAATAACAGCTACATTCTCCACCCTACAACTGTGCTATAACAGCTACATTCTCTACCCTACTACCACGGAGTAACAGCCAAATTCTCCACCCTAAGGCTGTGGAATAACAGATACATTCTCCACCCTACAACTGTGCTATAACAGCTACATTCTCTACCCTACTACCACGGAATAACAGCCAAATTCTCCACCCTAAGGCTGTGGAATAACAGATACATTCTCCACCATATGACAATCGTAACAGCCAAATTCTCTCAAAGTTGAATAGAGCAGAATACAATACAAAGAATAGAGCAAAATTTAAAAGGACCTACCGTTTTGTCATAATAACCTGTTTCTAACATTACTGTAAGAATGTAAGCTGAAAGTACATCTGTTGAGCCATCCTGGATACCGCCTTTCATGTCGCCATGTATAACTCGACCGCGAGACCTGAAACTACCACGATGGTACTGGATAGTTGCCCAATCTAAAGCACGGCTAATAATAAGTTTGTCAACAAAAATGAACTCGGATGCTTGGTGGAAGCATTTCGCCACAAACACTGTAAGCCATGTACTGCCATCACCGTCACTCTGACCAAAAGCACTAAATGAATGATCGGAACGTTTGTATCGTAGTTCTCGTTGGTATCCTGTAAGAAAAATTGGAAATGAGCGTAGCTTGTAACAACCTTGCTGTCTATACCCATTTGTCAACCTCTCACGACTATTTTACATGACGAAACTGGTGTATCCCTACCCAAAACTGAGTAAATTACGCCTCCAGAGAATGAAACACACATTGTATATGCCAGAAATCGGTTAGAAGCCCCCCCTCCCCCACCCCTTTGGTGGTCCCTGGACCCTTGTCAGCACAGTTCGATCCCCAACCCTTATCAGAAAGAATCTGTTATCATTTTTACCTGCTATAAGAAACTTTTTAATTGAATCTGAATCTATTGAATCCATCTGCCCAGTACTTTTGGTGTATTTCATGACATAAATATTAGGAGCGAAGTTAATCATATTCTGTTCACCACAGCCGTAGGGTAATCTCAATAAATCTGTGGCACTGTTTAAACTTGGTCCCATCAAATCACCTGATAACAAACAAACAGAAATAAGTGGGCAAATATCTTCACGAATAATGAGATCTCTTGATTTTAGGTTATAAAACAGAGCTAAATTGGACAATCTGATTAAAATACAAATCTATATTTCGTTTTGTTTTTTTATACTTTCAATGGCCTACACTACATGAAGATCTGACAAATTATAGGTGCTTCACCCTATGACGTCAGACATTGATTAATCAATCGGTGGTTCTAGTGGTTTACCCGCAGTTCCATGCATAAAAAGGCCAAGAACTCGCCCTAACAGACCGTTTCCTTGGCTAATTCCACACTTCAAGTAGAACGCCTGTTACAGATCCTAGTGTAGTAAAGACAAGTAAAACGAAATTTTGAACTATAAAAACGAAACGAAATAGGATCTGTGTTTTAATCAAGATTGTGAATTGGATTAATTTAATCTGATATATTGATTAGTAATCGATGTTTCGAGATATTAAACGGATTATTTACCAATTTATGTTTAAAATATTGACTATTGAAATATAAAATCATTTATATACCATATCGTAGGGTCTGATCTTTAGGCACAATTTTATTGTTTATGTGTCTGAGAGTTTTGACCAGAAAAAGAATTAGATGTCACTGTGTTCCAGCGTTGTTTGGTGATCTCTTAGCTATGTCCAGCTCTGTGTTTAGACATTTTAATCTTTTTTGACATGTCTTGGTCTTGTCTTATAAAAAGAATGTATGTGATATACCATGTGGTAAAGTTGCCGCTAAACCCCAATTAACATAGGAGATGTGATAGTCGAGGACAAGGATGTAATAATACTAAAGATAACCATAGTCCATAGCCAACAAAGCCTTGCCACCCATGATTTAAAACAGCTTTTTGTAACCTCGGGATGTTTGTCTCTGCACTAATTCTGATTGACTGGGCATGTCAATAAACCGGAACTCGGACATGAATGGGGTTTAAGGTCTTGTCCACACAATACCATGGTCATTTTTAGACTAAAATATGGTCATTTTCATTTCAATACGACAATGTGATTGGTGCCCTGACAACAGCTTTTCTTCTCTGCCAAGGGTTATTTGTGTACAGGGCCCAATGTTTATACGAGCGCCACCACAATCAGGCCTGAACCTGACTTTAAAAAAACCCGCTTTCCTGCTCGGCACCATGACCGGACCATTACCATGAATTCAATACTATTTATTTGTGTTATGGTTGTTCCATGGTGTGGGGTGGGTGGTTTAGTGGTTTAACGTGTGCGGGTGAAATCACAAGGTCTGTTATTGAGTAGCATGGTTTCGATTCCCCACTTGTATTTGACAAGTAGTACGGTCATGGGTTTCCTCTCACTGCTAAAGACCTCTACGCACAAGCGAATTATTGAAATAAAATTGAACCATATGTTAGTCCCGAAATGACCTAGTTTGTGTAAAGTGGACAATAAACTCTCTCTCTCTCTCTCTCTGCTCCAAGGTATAATTAATCATATCTATATGACACATATAAAACGAACCTATAACAGATACGAAACCTCTAGCGGAATCTGGTACATGGTCTCTAGGTATTGGTAAATCTACTACCGATCTATATTGGCCATTATTATATTCTGATAAAATAAAAACATACACATTATATAATATTAATTTTAAAAAAATATGTAGGTTTTGTGGCCCAACGTATCAAACTTGGCGTATAAATAAAAGTAGCCATGCAAAACCTCATTAAAGATTTTCGCTATTTGAAATATTTAATTTTGTTTTGACAGACTTCACTTTGTAGTTATCTCGGAAATAAATGGGATATAAATGTGTATTAAGCCAGTGCTCTCTGTATACCATGTTAAGATAGTGCTATATCTGAACGAATTGTAACAAATAGAAACAAACAAGAAGTACGAATGTAGTGCTATATCAGAACGAAATGTTAACAAATATAAATTAACGAGAAGTACGAATGTAGTGCTATATCAGAACGAAATTTTAACAAATATAAATTACCAAGAAGTACGAATGTAGTGCTATATCAGTACGAAATGTAACAAATAGAAATTAACAAGCTGTCCTTAGACTGAAATTTGGCCGAGAAGTAATATAGGCCTGGTGACGTTGAACTACCATTTTGGAGTTATACCACTTCCGTGCTACGCCGTGTCAACCGCTAGTGAGATAATAAGTGTTATGTCCCTTAATAGTCATCATAATAATACGCCCACATATGTAAATAACTTAATTATCATGATATCATATTTCATTGTATTGGACGTTAAATTTGTAATAAACAATACCATTTATATTTCCAGTCAGTCGAGACTGTCAGGCCATATTATATCGTCTTTATCTCCTTGTAATTTGCCTGTTCCAACTACACCAATCAATATTTGGACATACATTATTATCAGAGCTTCCATTATTACCAAAATTGCAAGACAGAAAACTGACTGCAGACCAGGGGCGTGGTGACCCATGATTTTGCATGAGGAACAAGATCCGCCCGCCCGGGACTCATAAAAACAATATTTATATAAGTGTACAGGGGAGGGGATGGGGGTGGAGTGGCAGTCCCTCCCAGTGCCACCGGGTAATGTTGGGCTGTGTAGAACATGCTAGAGTCGATTTGTAGTATATCTGACCCATGGTATATGTTTTGACACTGTTTAAGCATTATGATTATGATTATAATGTTGAAAACCGCATTGAAACTGCATGATTTTTTGTCATTTCCGAGGGGGCGCAAAATCTCACGGGGGCGCAAAAACACAAAACCCTGACGCAAAGCTCGTCATTGTTTCCCTCTCACTTAACCCCTGCTGCAGACCCACCTTCTGGACAAACCAATGTTCCATACGTATATTCCTTCTCTGTTCCTTCAGGCTGAAATTACGAAAAGGCATCATTTCAGAAGACCAACAACATTTTAATTATTTGACTTCAAGCCGCTGTAACTACAATATGAATCTCTATATAAAATAGCTGTCAGTTCCGTTTAGTAATTTCCAGATATGACGAATTGATAATTTGTCAACAGTCAGTGGAGAGGTCTTCTACCGTTGACATCTTGGTTTTATTTTTCAATTAAATCTTGCATAACCAAAAAAGCATGGATGGATTTGTGAAATATGAGATATAGTCAGGAAGGGGAATGCCAAAAATGGGCTAAAAATGTTATTTAGAATAGATTCCGTAATCTCTTGATTCCAAGGTTAGTGTATGCAAAAAGAAATATATTTAAAACTATTAGAGCCATAATGGCGGTGTCAATTGGGTACATATTTGCTGAATAGTGGAAGTAACTTAATTTGGGTTTTATCAATTTGAATTCCTTTTTGTAAAGTATTTTTTTGATTGAGTATGGTCTTAATCTTTATGTTAAACAGTTTGTGACCGGTAAGGAGAACTCAAATTAGTATCCAGTTCTTTTCGGTCTTCATTAATGCGTAAACAGTTCCGGGTTTATAATTATAAAGACATTACAGTAATCAAAATGAAATCAAACAATAAAACATAGAAAACGACGCACTAAAAAAAAAGTAAAAAAAAAAAACCCAAACCACCATTTACATCAAGTATGTGGGCAAATCTCAGATATATTGCAATTGCTTGAGCTGAAATGCATTTACCAATAGATGCTGTTTGATCTATTTTCTAAAGAGACGGGGAAGATTGCAAATACATCAATTTGATCAAGCAATGTTCTTTTAACAATGTGATGAAAATACAGAAAAAAAGTTATTTATGCACAGATTCAAAGATTTACATTGTCAAACAGTCACAAATTATTGGTCCGAGAGATTTGTCTGTGTGGTAGATCAAAGAAGTGTACCAGTAAGATTAACCTAGAAGATAGTGTCTAATATAATGATGAAGCTCGGTTAAGGCTCTTTTAATGTAATTTTACGGTATCGAAATTGACTGATCAATTGCTGTGTAAACGAAGACTGGGCAAGACGCAAAACTTTGTCCTAATCCACGTTAAATGCTACATTGTGGGTACAGTGTATTGGAGAGGTATAGGAATTCCATTTACCTACGCATTAAACACTACTTAAACATACATTATGCAGGAGCTAAATCTGCCTATTGCAGGTCTTTCTTTAGGCCTGAAATGTTATCTAAATTATTAATTAGACATTAATTATCAAAACAAGACCATAATCAACTGTTATTATCTATTTTTGAGCTATTATAACTCTTTATCCAAATCTTGCAAAATATTTCTTTAAAGTATAAAATAAATCTAATAAATTGCAACCACGTTTAAGCTGTGTGCACACTGTCGTTGTTGTCTTAGTAAATCATATTGAATTTAAATTTCTCCAATTTGCTGGAATCGAGTGTAATGGGGTTAACTAAAATCTTGGCAATTTCACAATACTTTGGTCATTTTGAGACTAACATATGGTAAAGTGTGGATTGTGACGGAGTGGAGAATTGTTCTCGTACAGCGCATTCATTTCCACTTACTCTTTTTTGAATTATAAATGCCAAAGGTTTGTTTGTATGTACGTCAATATTTTCACCAGTCGATACCGTTTTCATGCCATCTGACGAGTGAGAACCGTGTATGTAAAATCATGAAGATTGGTCTCGTTCTATAACGGGAACTGAACCTTATTCGTTTGTCTCGCCCTATCAACTTTTCCTTACAATTTAATGTGTCCTGCAACATTGAGAAACCACGCAATTTTCTGAAGTACGGATGATTTATTGTGGTCGATCGCTAAAGGACATTATCTAACTGTATAAAAGCCTATAACGGTAAATCTCTTTGATCTTTGGGGTATAATCTATGCCCGGAATAACTTGCGGTCTGAAAGTCGGGGGGGGGGGGGGGCTTTGAATATATTCAGTGGAATTTGGGGTTATTCTTCTGGAAGTTTTTCTTTAAACCTGTAACGGGTTATTCTTCCAGGGAAGGTTTTTTTCCAAAAGAAAACATGACATAAGGTTGTTCTTACTGGAATTCTGGGATATTCACATAGACAATTTATAAGCAAGATAAAGTCCTCGACTTCAGTTATGCTGGGGAAGAAAGACTTCAGCAAAAATCTCGGCCTGTCGGTCTCGGTTTTTCTTTGTCTCGGGTTATCATCTTCAGTCTTTCTTTCCCAGCATAACCTCATTCTAGCGCCCTATCCTACAAATCCAAACTTTGCCATAGCGTCATTATATACAATGATTATTACGTACCTCGACGAGTAATGGTCTTATTACTGTATCTTGAACACCAACAGTTTCTGCACTGATATCAAAACCTGAACATCTTGAATCTCCTGCTACTGATTCAGCCTGGAAAAACAAGACCAAAGTACAAAAAAGATCAAGTATATCTCTGGGCTTCCTTAATATCCCCAATGGTCTCATTCCGTTCTACTCCACTATACCCTGGGTTCATCCATGGATTAGCCTTATTGTTTACGTTCACATTTTGGGTTGTTCATTCGATAATGAGAAAGTTGCAAGAAAGAAATTTAATATAAAATAAGTGACATACACACACATATGTCCTAATATGTTTTATGAGAGTCAAAATAGGCAGTGGCAAGTCAATATGCTATCAAGCTTATTGGTCGATAAAAAAAAGCACAATCATCATCGGGCAGATAATTTGAATATATGTCTCCCCCATGGATGAATCAAGGGTGGAGTGGAACGTAACGAGACCGCTGGGGATACCGAGGATGATATTTGGGCGATAGACCGATTATCAGATTGTGAAAACAGTAGACTCGGTCTGATCCACTTCACTTCCAAACTCTACCAGTTTGTCCATTTTTGATTTATTGTGTTTAGCCCAGATTTGCAAGACATTTCTTTAAAAACCTATTGCAATTTTTAGCATTATCCCTATTTTGAAATATATTTTAAGTATACGAACAATAAATTTAATTGTATTATGTAAGATTAGATAAAGAGCTGGCATTCTCGCTATAATTGATAATGAAGAGAGAATTTTCCGAAAATGTCAGTCAAATTACTTCATTCTGAGCCTAGAAATCATAGATACGGTTTTTAAAAGAGACAAACTTTTATTCTCAATTTTAATTGTATATATTTAATCATGTATATTGTTTTAAATATTTATATATGTAAAAGATTTGTTATATTTATTTTTAATTATATATTTTCTGTGATATTTGTTTTTATTTACATATATAAATTCAATTATGTGATATTGTTTTAATTTGTCTCGTTAGATTCACCATATGTTTGGCGCAATATAGCCCGGTTGGAGCTGACGTGCCATTAAACAACATTTCATTTCATTTCATTTCATTTCATAGATACGGTTATGATGTCTGCCGTTGATGTTAAATTTAACGGTCAATACTGCTGAATACGGTTAAGATGTCTGCCGTTGATGTTAACTGTAACTGTCAATACTGTTAGATACGGTTAAGATGCCTGTCGTCGCTGTTAAATGTAACGGTCAATGTAATGGTTAACATGTCTGCCGTTGCTGTTAAATGTAACGGTCAACACTGTTAGATAAGGTTGAAATGTCTGTTAAATCAGACAGGATCTGACTATAGATTGAATATATTTACCACAACAGTTAAGTTAACCTCTCCAATCTTTTTAGGAACTATAATAAAATTATAAGATTTGGCTTCGTTTGAACAAATACACAAGCTCGTGACCGATCCAACATCCGGGTCTATATCTATAAATTCGGAACCCTTCAACTCTAGTCGAATCTAAAAAAGATTAAATAGACAATCTTGATTTGTTATTCGCCCGGTATTAAATTCAGTAAAAAGAACGGGGATGGCTTTTCTACACAGCAGAATTTGTGAAACGGTAATCATTTTGTCGCTCTCTGGAGAATTATTCTCTTCCTCGGCATTATACATGAATAATATGACATGTTAGTCCCAAAATAACTTAAGTACTAAACCATAATAATATTCTGTGGCTCGGTGTATTAAGGCCCTGTCTCACTAACTAGGTCGTTTCGGAACCAAAGTATGGCTTGCCCGTAAGGGTCTTTCGGGGTGGGAGGAAATCAGAGGACCCGGAGAAAATCGACGAGCTTGGATAGGCGACCCCGCTCCTTCTCACGTACAAGCGGGGAATCGAAATTCCGCCACTTGACTCAATGACAGACCTTCTGATCCAACGCGCCCCATCACTAACTAGGAGATCCCTGGTTTAATTCCAACGTTGCTCGAGGAAGTTCCTCAGGAATTTGAAGTCTGGGTTCTCTTTGTCATTGGTACAGGACGGAAGGCCGAAATCTAATGTATCCTATCTGTTGCGCGTTAGAGACCCCCTGAGTAAGTCATATAATCACAAATTTCCATCCTAGCACCCTACATACACGCCTGCCATCTTTAACCTAGTTGGTGCAGATAAGAAAACCGTTGAACCTCATTTCAATAAGTTTCTTCGGCAAATCATGTTATTTCTAATGTTGGCGGAATTCGGGGTTCACGAACTCCGTGACTTACCTGAACACATTCAGAAAAATAGTTGAATGTTGTCACTTTGATAGGAATAAATTCACCCCGGATAGCCGAGTACGGCAGATTAAACGACGTAAAGAACGGTTGGAACGTTGTGATGGCTGCATCGTTTGAAATACGGACACCTTTTTCTTTATGGCTACAAACAGCGTTACCAAGCCATTTAGTTATTGTATGTGGTAGTTCTTTCTTCATTACTAACTTCCCAGTTTCTCTGCAATTTAAATAAATACAGAAATAAGAAACAATATGTTAACAAAAGCTTGGAGTAAGTTGAGTAACCATATCGTTTGTAAATCAATAAAGTTAGCCGTTAAAAACAATTACTTCCCAAGGTATGTCCCTTCTAATTTTTGAACAGCAACGGTCAGTGTCCATACGGTTGGAAATTGTCTTGTTCTTGAGGCGACGTACTTAAACAGGCATTATTCAAACGCTAAAGCTGCCTATTGCCCTATTCCAGGTCTTTATGTACAGGCAAATAAATGAGGGTCACGTCACCCTTTTTGAGTGACAAGGTAGAATTTGAGAACTAGAATTTTTATATCATACGGTCTCAAATTTGGGCACATATTACTTTCATTTGTTGGCGAATTAATGTAATTTGTGTGTGCAGCATTAATTTTATTAGTGCGACCATTGATATCCATTACAGGAAACGATATTTATCTTTATAGTTTTCCATATTTTGTTTCCTCTTTAATAACAGATCTTAAATTTTAATCAACCTACATATTTCTTTTCGGATTTAGCATCCTTACTCCAATTTTAAACAAACCTACTTTGAGATGCATAAGGATGTGTTCTTTACATTACATGTGTCATTTAGATACTATTCAAGCGATTGGAACTAATCTATCCGGAGATTTCTAGCCTCTCTTTATGGATATCACGATTTTGTATTTCAAATGTTGATACACGATGTCTTCTGTGTATTTGATTACCACTTGTTATTTATCAAGTCCTGGACAAGCATGTCTATTAACTGATATTTTATGTGGAGGTGATGGGAATGAAGTGTTCCCCATCGTATTCGGCTGACAACTTGAAATAAAACGAACTAAGTCGAAGCGACTATATCTGGTAAGTCGTTGAAATCTATTGTATGTCATTAGGTATCCTTAAGGTAGATGTTTAAGTTGACAATTTATGAAAGTCATAGACATCTTGAGACCTATATGGTACTTATAGAATTAACAATCTAAATTGGTATGAAATGTTATGTTCACATTCAATATACCGAAAGAACCTGTTTTAAATGGTTCCCCGGTTCGCTAGCCTGGAGCTTGCGGGTTTGATCCCGGTGTTGGCAGAGAAGTTCGTCGGGATTTTTCGGCGGGTTTCCCCTTGTCAGAGGTGTATTGGACGGAGGACCTGGCAAGGGACAACGTATAGTCGTTCGGATTGGGGGAAACACGGTCCCGTGTACACATTGGCGTGCACGTAAAAGACCCCTTGGCAGTTGGAATTCAATATAGGAGTAGGCCTTTGCGGCGTTGTCCGGTCAAAATCTCACTCATAGCACACTGCATGGCGTATACCTAGTCTTCATTAAATCAGTCGGAGCACAACAGCAGGACGTTAAACTCCATTTCAATTCCTTCAAAAGCACGATTGGTGCCGAAAAGTAAGACGTTAAACCCCATCCCATTTCATCTCAGGCGCCAATCTCATCCTCACAACATTGTCAATAGATATGGCTTCCCACTCATCTATCGCAAGACCAAGGCAACGGGTGTGGGCAGATGTCTTGGTAGAATATTCAAAATAAATACGTATATAATAAGAAATGATTATGACGTATCATTATCTCATTCCGAAAGTATGTCAGATACTAAAAGGAATTCTATCCATCAATGCTGACCTTTGATCCGTGTTATTTTCTTGCTACAATAACAGATAGGTTACGTGGCCTTTACCCCGTCAATCTTACATCCATCAAATTGTCATAAATGCGTATGTGAATAAACCTTAGGTCAATGACTTGATAGCTACCAATCTCCATCTTAATAGTGCCTATATCATGAATTAACTTTTCGACTGCTTGATGGTGGTACTGTCGGCTGCCAATGAATGACATCCCCTACAGATCAGTTTTCTGGTTTTAGGCCACATTAAAAAATATTATGGTTGTCAGTTTACAGTATCATATTTCCCAGGTAACTATTATCAGAGAGAGAAATTGGGTTTAACGTCTACTCGACACAAACTAGGTCATTTCGGGAGTAACATATGGTTCAATTTTATTTCAATAATTCGCTTGCGCGTAGGGGTCTTTTGCGGTGGGAGGAAACCGGAGGACCCGGAGAAAACCCACGAGTTTGGACAGGCGACCCTACTCCTTGTCACGTACAACCGGGGAATCGAAACCACACCAGTTGACTCAATGACAGACCTGATAATACAACGCACGTGCTCTAACAAATAACTCTATTATTAAGTACATAACCGTGATAAATATTACTGACAAACATACAGGACACTATACGTCATCGCAAATTGACACATTGTTATTACGAAATGGCGACCATCGATTTCTTTGCTTAATTTTCAAAGATTTTTTTAAAGACATGTCTTTTACGAATGATATAATTATTCTGCTAAAAGCATGTAGTAATAAGAATGAAATGACTGAAATTATATTCCATATCGATGGGAGAAGGAAAGTGCTCCATTCACATTCCCTAGAATGACACGACATTAGTTTATACTTCTAATTAAAGTTGTATTCAGCTTAGCATACAAAACGAGTAAAGTGTCATATGTTATACAAGAACGAGTATTGAAGTTATTCCTGAATAGAAGGGTAATCATATAAAAGCAGAACGAGAAAATTTGATTAAGTCAAGTCGTCATTTGACAAAATAGGGGAGCCTGTGAGCTCAGTAAACACGTTCCTGGAGTAATGACCGCGAGTTTGAAAAACATCTAGACGTCGCTAGACTAGTCGGCAATTTCCGAACTTATAGGTAGGTTATCCCTCTCTTTAACCCAATCAAGCTCAAATCTAACATGGCGACCATCACGGAATCCTTGAATTGAACGAACTTGAACGAACTCGTTTATCACAGGTAGACATTTTAGCTGAAAAGCGCGAGACTTGATATTTGCGTTGATCGAAAAATCTGATAGGCTCCCCAGCTGGGTCAGTAGTCAATCGAAATTAGTGCCGAAATATATAGGGTATTACGTGTAGGGCTTGATATGTATTGGAGATGCAGTAAACAAGACAATGACTCGCTAACATGCTGGGGGGGGGGGGGGGCTCATAAGGTATGTCATTGAGTCGCGTGGCGTGGTTTTGATTCCCTGCTTGTACGTGACATTGACAAGGAGTAGGGTCGCTTGTCCAACCTCGAGGGCTTTCTCCGGGTACTCCGATTTTCTCCTAAGCGCATTAATGAAATAAATTGAACCATATATGTTAGTCCCAAAATGACATAGTTTGGGTCCACTTGTGTCATTTCATTTCGGAACCAACACATGGTTCAATTTTATTTCAATAATTCTTTAGCAGGGGGGGGGGAGGGGCGGAGGACTCGGAGAAAACCCACGAGGTTGGACAGACGACCCTACTCCTTGTCACGTACAACCGAAGAATCGAAACCACGCCAGTTGACTCAATGACAGACCTTATGATACAGCGCGCACATGCTAACCATTTGGCCATCACCCCCCAACCCCCTGCCCCGCGCCGACCACTTGGGTAACAAATGGGCCGCCAGGCTCGATAAAAAACCACTGGAAAACCATTATAGGATAATGGGTCGAGCTAGTAGGTAAAAGACGCCCGTGTCGGTTATAAGACCCGGTCCGCTACTGACTAATAAATACAAAACTATTTTTAGCTTTACCCTACGATTTCCAAGTCCCATAACCAGGTTTCTGGGAAGAAATCTCGGACAGCTACTTGCTTCTTTTCTGAAATATAGAATTATAAAGACAGTGATTCACTTCTGTAAGCAAACGCGTCAATCAAGAACAGAAGGAAGTATGGGCACATCTAACATGTGTATTCTGTGAGATGAAGATCCCTCCCCCTTTACGCACTATTGACGACTGATTCTAAATCGGACAATAGTTGGAACTCGTTCTAGACTTTATTCCTTTCGGATCGATAGTGATGACTTCGGGTAAATTCATATGACGTCGATACTAAAATTATCCAGTTATTGGCAGAAGCGCCAGCAAGTATAGACAAAAATGAATCGTTTGGAGAATAAAGTTGCAGCTATATTGGAGAATAGATAGATAACTCTTACTGTCAGGCTTCGCGGGGCTTACAGATGGCGCTTCAAATGAATCATCGCCAGAGAAACTGTCATCAGCAGATAAATAGGATTTCTTCCATACTTCTTTACATGGTCTGTTATCTAGCTTTAGATCTGTTAAATACACTACACCAGCTGTCTGTAGTATAATATTTACAACAATAGTATTAATACAGAGGAGATGTAAATGGCGAGGTTCTAAGATGATAAAATATGAACTAGCGGTTGACTCGGCGTAGCACAAGTATTTTCTTTGAAAAAGAAACAGCATAACTCCGAAACCGTAAATGGTAGTCCATCGCCACCAGGACCATGTTATTCCCCAGTCCGACCTACCCCTATACACCAAGCCTCAGCCATGGGGACAGCTGTCACTCCGATTAGACAGACAGACAAAAAACAAACTACAGTCTCAAATATTAGTACATGTAGATTTCAAGTTGAGTAAGTATAAAGGTATTAAACGTATTTACCTTAAATGCTTGTGATGCGTCAGTATGTTCCACTCTGTAGTAGTAATCATCTTCATCATCTGGATACCATCCATTACTAATAATTGAGACTTTTTCCATTTGAGCAAGTTCCGCCGCTGACTTCGGTAGAGCTATAACGATTAGAATTATTTGAAATATTCTAAAATAATACACGAAAGACAAAACATGCAAAATAACCCACATCTAAACCGATATATACATGTTTACACTAACAAGTGGCGTGGTTTCGATTCCCCAGTTGTACGAGACAAGGCGTAGGATCGCCTTTCCTATCTATACAGAGTATCACGTGAAGGGCTTCATAGGATGTACGGAGTTAATACGAGATCAAACCTTCCATTGAAGATGCAGTAAACAAGGGCATGACTCGCTAAGCTGGGTGGGTGGTTGGGTTGCTGAATGGTTAACGCGTGCGCATTGTCACACAAGGTCTGTCATTAAATCAAGTGGCGTGGTTGTACGTTACAACGAGTAGGATCCCCTTTCCCACCTAGTGGGTTTTCTCCGGGTCCTCCGGTTTCCTCCTACTGCTAAAAACCCCTAGGTGCAAGCGAATTATTGAAATGACATTGAACCTTGTGTAAGTCCCGACATGACCTAATTTGTGTCGAGTTGACGTTAAACCCCGTTTTTTAGTGAAGTATCTCGAAGATTAAATTGATCATCTACACTCCCATGCGAATCCGAATTAATTCGGCACACTTTAATGTTTAACCTATTTGTTGTTTGTTAAATCAGCCTCTAGCCCCGAAATAACCTAGTTTGTGTCGATTGGACACTAAAGCATCTCTCTCTCTCCCTCTCTCTCTGTGATTCTGTCCACATTTTGTCGTGTGATTCACTTCTCCATTATCGTTAGATTCACCCGTTAAAACCCCGACGGTTTGGATAACCACGGCTATTGCATCCGCTATGCAGCCGATCAACCAAGATAATGGGGATAATGCGGGTATTAGTGCTGGGTAAGATTTGAAGCTCTGTAGTTGGTAAGAAAATACAAAAGAATACAGGGTTAAATTCGTATGGCCTGTAGGAAATACAAACATACAACGAACGATGTCTGTGTGCATTGATCAAATGGGCGGTGGTATAAGAAATAAAAATACACCCTTTTTTGAGCATGACCCGCCCCTTCTTACAATTAAATCACTCCATAGTCTGAACCCAGATCACTCACTTTTGTCAGAAAACGTTTTTATAATTCTTCGAGGTGGCTCATTTTCTGACAGCCACTTCTTACAATGGTCTTTATGTGTTGGATAATTTTCATTCAATGGGTCAAATAGGTCAACTTTATAAATGTCGGATGCTTTTAACAACTAAAATAAATAAACAAAAGACAATGTACAAAATAATTAATGTGATATTTCGAAGTAATAGAAATTGAATTAAAAATTGGAAGCTAAACTTAGCTGGTAGAACAACGGTGTTGACACCAAAGTCTTGGCAACAGAGTTTTAATGTTTAGAGGTTTGGATTATGGTTGGGGCTAAAATTTATTTGACCGAAACGTCAACCTAGATACGAAGAGGACTTCCAATTATTTGTAAATCCTTCAGTATAGTTTGTATCCGAGCACGAATCATTTCTGAAACATCTGGAGAGTTTCTACGTGCGGGTGAAAGTCGTCAATTCCTGCTACAGGTTAACCAGAGGGTTCGATCCCGATGTTGATCAAGAAAATTCCTGGCTATCCTCCAGTCTGTTTTCCCTTTGACAGTGGAACAGAATGGAAGAACTGGTACAGAAAAACTACTGTCATTTGAATAGTACGGAAAATTCAGGTTAATCATTAGTGCTGGGCATTGCCACTGCAGGCACGATACGATACGATTTGTATCACGATCTACAACCAGGTCAATACGTACCAAGAAAATAACAGGATAAATCAGTAATTGATGTCGAGGAAATAAATCTGTTTTATAACACGATATTGATGTGGATCAAAATAACGACTAAACAATTTAAGCGTGTTTGTTGTGTACCTATGGATAGTGTGTGTGATGCAGATAATTAAGAGTGACGGGTTAATTATTGAAGCGACCCCCCCAAAAAAGAATCGTGATACATCGATTCAGTGTCTCACGATTCAATGCGCGAATCGTGAGACAGTGAATCACGATACATTGATTCGACGATATATCGTGCCAGCATTTAAAATGCAAGGGTACTATATATAGGGGGGGGGGGGGACAGTTTATACATGATTTGGAAGATGGCGTGTAGTGTCCACTGCTATAGACTTTGTCTGGTGGTGTTACTTTGGCATGATTCTGTTGTAAAGCTTGTAGTAACGCAAGGCTTTTGACGTACCTGACTTTGTGTGATGGTGTTAACCTGGCCTAACAATAATACAGATTTATCTATAACACCTATACCACAAACGGACCCCGGTTCAGCTTGGAGAGTTAAAGTCGTTTCATAACCGGGATATTCCTTATCCGTGCCAAACTCTAAATTAACCTAAAATATACAAATATATTGTACAATTATGTATGAGATAAAATGGTTAGCGCGTGCGCGTGTATCATAAGGTCTGTCATTGAGTCACCTGGCGTGGTTTCAATTCCCCGCCGGTTGTACGTGTAGGGTCTCCTGTCCAACCTCGTAGGTTTTCTCCTGGTACTCCGGTGTCCTCCCACTGCTAAAGTTTCCTGTGCGCAAGCGACTTGAAATAAAATTGAAACATGTGTTTGTCCCGAAATGACCTACTTTGTGTCTAGTGCACGTTAACCCCCATCTCTCTCTCTCTCTCTCTCCTCTCTCTCGCTATCTCTCTCATAAATCAAGGAGATGGACAGGTCATCATGGACAGGTCATCACCAAAGCTCATAAACATTTAAGCACAAACTCAGGATAATTTAAAAAGATATGTACAGGCAAACACTCTTGAAAGGTTTTGGATACGATCAACAGTATTGAACATTAAGACGTGCAGAGAAAAATGTATCTGTATAAGCGAAACCGACAGAAACATTTTGGATAAGATCGGCAATATTCATCTAAGGGATGTATCGGTTGAAAGAACTGTTGGACAGGGGTGGCTACAATGATCCTTTTTGCTACCTCTTGAATTCTTTTCCTTAATCAACGGCCTGATTGATTTAATGGTAGCGCGGATCCTGCTTACGTGTATATTTTTTTGTCACTCTGAGATTTGTTTCTGTCAGGGTTAAAAAAAAGTACTAAGTCTGAAAACTTTCCAATTTGCATATTTAAGGTTTTTTAAAAGAATCATGGTTATTTGGCCCTTATTAAAAAGAATCAGTGGAAATAATTGACGAACGATTTCAACTAGTTACACAGATCTTTCAGAGAATTCGCGCAAAACAAAAACAGGAATGCCACTTTAAAATCTGCATTTACAAAATAATGTCCATAATTGTCATGTCAGTGTCTAGACTGATGCTGATTATTTGGAAGTAACCAGGCAACCTTTAGGATTAAATCTGATTTGACAAGTATATGACGTTACTATATTATTTAACGGAAATTACGGAAAATATGCGTTCGCCTTACACTCAAATCTAGTGCTGTAATTAAATACACACACAAGCAATTTTAGGTGAAATGTCATATATAGTCGCAATTTATATCGTATAGACAAATATTACTTTCAGTGGAGGTTCGCAATTATAGCCAAATCTCCTTCTGCCTCAAATTTATATATTACACTTTTGACATTTCGATGTTTAATTGACTTCCAGGCCAAATGTCTACTTCTTCGGTCCCAGCGGGGTGGGGTGAACAAAACCCCAATATCTATATTGTTAGTGAGTACCCAGGGGATGTCTCTCTCCTAGTCGTCCAGACATTTTGACATCAGTGGATGTGGTGGGGGTGGGGTGGCCGAATGGTTAGCACGTGCGCGCTGTATCATAAGGTCTGTCATTGAGTCAAATGGCATGGTTTCGATTTCCCGGTTGTACGTGACAAGGAGTAGGGTTGCCTTTCCAACCTCGTGGGGTTTCTCCGGGTCCCCGGGTTTCCTCCCACAGCTAAAGACCACTATGTGCAAGCGAATTATTAAAATAAAACAGAACCATATGTTAGTCCCGAAATGGCCTAGTTTTTATCGATTGGACGTTAAACCAGTGGATCAATAGGTCATGCCTGTTCTCCAATTCCATTCCTTTATGAATAAAATATTGTTATATGAAAACTAAAGATCAAGGTCAGGTAACAGATAAAATTGATTGCATCAAAAAGTCAAGTCAGGCCACCACACAATACCTACATATATCCCAAAAAAGAAAAATGGTGACGAACAAATTTCTGATTATGTGATACATTCATTTTGTTCTATAAAATGAAATGCTAATGAAGGATAGGCTTATGAAGACGGGCATACGCCATACAATGTGCTATTGCGAAATTTTGCGAGGATAGCGGCGCTACGGCCTACTCTTATATCGAATTCCAACTGCCAAGGAATCTTTTAATTGCACGTCAATGTGCCAGTGTGTACACGGGACTTCGGTTTGAGCCACGCCTTTTGTGTTATAGCCATGCAGATTCCCCGACGGAAGGTTTCCCATGTATGTTCTCGCCAAGGTTTAAACCGATTAGTTCTTGCGGAATACAGACATACTACTCAAAACAAGTTAATTTTCTGAATAAAACCTTGAGACATGTTTATCTAAATATTACAAAAACAAATTATCTAACTTTTAATAACAAAATTGGCCCAACGTATACTTATGCATCTAGTTTAAAATAGCAGCAAATTATCAGTCGAAATGATAGAATAGCCCAAACTTCGGACAGTATAAAAACTTCAAACAGTATAATTTAGACCTATCACAAATGTAAATCTTACGTAGGCCTACAGCAGGATGATTCAGATAATTTTAATATTCATTAAAAGAAAATGTTTCTCTTTTTGTGAATCTGAAACACATGTATACTATCAACACGGTCCTCAAGTTATTATCCTTAGAATCTCGATGTGGATCCAGTCGATTTTTCGTTGGATAGCAGCCGTAAAATTACTGTACAGCGCAGTTGACGATTACGGCTAGCACCCGGACCCATTCACTTGATTGATCGATCCGATAATGTGCGTTTGTTGTTTGTGATTGTGTATATTGTCTGTAGATTTATCTTGTGTAATTTTTTGTGTGTGGTGCAATCCCCTTGCACTTACTATTTAATATTACCCAACTATAATTTATATTCTCAAGGCAACTAGTCAGCACTGCAGATGTTTATCCCCGATAATTCATTTCAGTGACATTTAGTAATTGAACTGGAAATACAGTAATGATAAGTAATTGTTGTCCAGAGAATTATGGCCTATGATTGTTTAGCGGTTGTGCTTGGGGATACGCGGTTGAACGTTCTAGAATTGAATTCTCTCAATCCCCAAAATAATGACTTTTTGGGACATTTTCTCGCGTTGTGTTAACGTTTGTCGGCGACCTTGTGTATTTTCTGGTCGCCGTACGGTCGCAGCAGCGCAGTGAGGACGCCACCCCGGTCTGACTGGGGCATTACAGAACTGTGACCTGCCTGAATTTCAGTGCAAAGTTGTCCTTGTTTGAAGACAATCGGATAACTTTCAAAGAAAAACAGCTGCAGACTTTGAAATATTTGTATGATAAAACATTCTTCAAAGGCGTCGTCATGGGCAACGCCGTTGGTAATCCGGGAACTTGAAAGTAGTTCCAATGGCGGACTTCGTCATACAGCCGAGGCTAGATGTAGGGTACTGGAATCTGCTGAGGTTTGCCGAGTGGCGACTTTGATAATTCAAGGTCTTCCGGACTGACATTCCACCCCGATTCCCCTTTCTGTCCAGGATAACAAGTGTCATATATTATGTGATTTGTCATGACCCAGGAAGTCTCGGGATCGCTCCCGGTGTAGGCCGAGGAAATTCAGTTCTTCGGGATTTTCCGGTGTGGTTTACCCTTATCGTTGGTGCAGGCCGGATGACCTGACAGGGAGCAGTGCCTAGTAGTTGGAATGGTATAGAAATCTATTGGTGTGCTCGTACGAAAACCCTTAATAGTTGCAATTCGAAATAGCAGTAGGCCGTAGAGCCGTTTTCTGTCAAAAGTGACCTCATAGCAATATCCCCGTTGGTTCAGAAAAGTAGGACGTTAAACCCCCATTTCATTTCGTTTATACAGAATAACAATCTGGTTTATCAATATCAAACACGACAAAAAAATAAATCTGAGGTAAAAGAAAATAAATTTACTCTAAACTGTGTAATATTTTCATAATTATTTTCCTTTTTTAATCTGGTGTCATCTGTACTTGATTTCTTATCGCCTGTCTCCAATTATCCATATAAGAATTAGTTCATTCATGATTTTCAACTAATTATATCATTCCGTCTAGCCCTCTTGACCTCTTTTATTAACAGTTCGTTTCACTTACATCTATCATTTCAACAACCGCAGGAGTGTTGAATGGTCTGATGATTTACGCGTCCCGTTAGTACGTGACAATGGTTAGGATCGCCCGTCCAACCTCGTGGGTTTTCGACGGGTACTCCGGTTTCCTCCACTGTTAAAGATCGATACGCGCATGCGAAATATTGAAATAACATGAACTTTGTGTTAGTCGCGACATAACCTAGTTTCTGTCGAGTGGACATTACCCCCCCCCACACACACACACACCTCTCTCTCTCTCTCTCTCTCTCTCAACAACCGCAATGTCGATAGTACTTAGTTTTATTCAGGTAGAAAAAAGTCTACTACAGAGGCAAGACATAGATAAATATGTTTTTTTTCCAATACTTAATTATATGAATGAGCCGGAGCTGCAAGTATAGTGTTTCCATCGGATTCCAAATGTCATGACTTTTGTGCAAACCACGGTTGATCTGGGTTATCGTTCTATCCAAACGAATTTCTATAGAATGGAATTCTATAGTATTCTACAGAATTCGGTGGGGGGGGAGCTGTAGGAAATAATGGCCCCAAATATTCTACAGTTTCTGTAGTGCAACTCCCATAATTTTTCATACAGATTTAAAAAACCAAAGATATAGATCAGAAAACATGAAATCCTGGAAATAATTTTAATTTAAATTTGGATATAGCTTGCATTCTCATCTCACGTTTTCATATCGTCATTTTGAATAATAAATCACATTTCAGACACACCTTACTTTAGCTAACATAAAAAACGTGCAATTAATCAGCTATTTTTGTCACATTGTTAGCAATGAAGAAAAATCAAAGGGAATTATTCTATTTTATCCTTTTTAAAACTGATTTATAAACTAAACGACAGCACAATATTTATTTTTTTTAATTTCTTTTCGAGAATTTTATCCACAAAGTGACAGTGCGGCATTTATTCTAAGGAAATTGATTTTCATTCTGACATGATTTCATTAATCAGAGGGAACATTTCACAATAATTTACCGACTTGACAAAACAGTTTTCTAATTGAAAAAAAATTAAAAAAATTTAGGCAGTGTGATGGATGCCTGCTTTTTCGAGATTCGCCAATATAAAAAACCCCAAGGAGAATGTGCAGTCTGTATGTGAATTCACTGCTCAGGCATCCTATTTTACGATATATATATAATTCGTTTTAGTAGCTCGTGTTTCGACATTCGCCAATATCAAAAAAACAAGGAGAAAGTGCAGTTTATATGTGAATCCAACGCTCAGACATCCTCATTTATGATATCTTTAGTTCGTTTTTAAAAAAAAAACTTATTTAATCAAATGTATTTTGGAGGCATTCTGCAGATATACACCCAAATCTGCTTTTTTGAGATTGAAGTTTGAATATCGAAAGAGGAGTATCGAAAAAAAGGCTAGTTGTTTTTAATTATTCGCCAATATCGAAAAACAAAAATCAATCTAACTTTACACCGCCATACATTTACCTATTAATCTTTTGGAAGAATTTATATAAGAATAAATAACATATAAGAGACAGAAATGGGGTTTAACATCAACTCGACACAACTAAATCATTTCTACATCTACATATGGTTCAATTTTATTTCAATAATCGTTAACTGGGGGGAGGGTACCAGAGGACCCAGAAAAAACCCACAGGGTTGGACAGGCGACCCTACTCCTTGTCACTTACAAGCGGGGAATCGACACCATGCCACTTGACTCAATGACAGACCTTCTGATTCATTCGGCCACCCATTCCCACTAAGTAACATAATGGGAACAACATAATATGGTAATTATTATTTTGATAATTTGCTTTCGTGTAGGGGTATTATGCAGATGAATGAAACCGCGTGGGAGTTGGGTGGCCGAGTGGTTAACGCGTGCCCCCAACCCCTGTGGTGATTACATAATATGTTAGTCCCGACATGACCTAGTTTGTGTCGAGTGGACGTTAATTACTCTCTCTCTCTCTCTCTCTCTCTCTCTCTCTCTCTCTCTTTTAAATGTTTATTGTTCCTTAGATTGGACATAACATTGTGTCGTTAAGAGTTGAAAAGAATTATAGTAAATATTCTTAGCTATGTCAATTCCCATATAAATAAGAGAACTGGTATGCGGTGAAAAAAAGAAAGAATAAACATAACTGCCTCCTGCATACGAAATGTTTAAATTTATTTACCGTCTGGCTGTCGCAATCTGTTACTGTAAGTTCGACAACATCTGAGACGACTTCACCATAGTCATGTACATAATACATTATTATCTGAGCGCTTGGTGCCATATCTTTATCTACCTTAACGTCGATCAACATTGACTCAACTTTAACATCGCTATATCTTATATTATATAACTTCCTTCTGACTATACCTACATGTAATAAAAACAAACATAATATAACGTCTTTAACATCGCTATATCTTATATTATATAACTTCCTTCTGGCTATACCTAATAAAAACAAACATAATATAACGTATTTAACATCGCTATATCTTGTATTATGTAACTCCCTTCTGACTATACCTAATAAAGACAAATATAATATAACGTCTTTAACATCGCTATATCTTATATTATATAACTTCCTTCTGACTATACCTAATATAAACAAACATAATATAACGTCTTTAACATCGCTATATCTTGTATTATGTAACTCCCTTCTGACTATACCTAATAAAGACAAACATAATATAACGTCTTTAACATCGCTATATCTTATATTATATAACTTCCTTCTGACTATACCTAATATAAACAAACATAATATAACGTCTTTAACATCATTAATAAAAAACCCCCAAAAATGTCATGACGTTTATAACATGGTTATATTTAAATACAGCAAAACTTCCGTCTGCCCATACCTAATAAAAACAAAAATAACATCACTTTATTTTATATTGTATTGTATAACTGTCGGCTGACCTAGTACAGCATAACATGACTTTAACATGGCTATATATTGTATAACTTCCGTCTGACTATATCAGTGATTCTCAACCAGTGTGCCGCGAGATCTTCCTAAGTGTGCCACGATATTTTGAAAGGCACACTAAGAAAATACGAAAAAACACGTGCTCCTGACCGAGTATTCACTGGTTCCTATTGGTAGGCTCATAGCTGTGTTTTTTCTTTATTTAGTTTGAGTCATTCTATGTGTCTATGACTAGTATGTGTCTATGGTTGTATGCCGCAATGTTTTCATTTTGCATATATACTTTGCCAGATGTGCCGCTATTTTGTCATGTGTTCCAAGGTGTGCCGTTGGCAAAAAAGGCCGAGAACCACTGGATGACTGCACTATACCTAGTACAGCATAACATGACTTCAACATCACTATATTCATACTGTATTACTTCTCTGTACACATGACCTCGGTATTTTGTCCGATCCGTATGATCAAATGCTGGTCCTTGCCAAGTCCTCCAGCTAAAAACTCACGAAAAATTTCTCGGCCCAAACCTTCATCGAACCAGGGGGTTTGGTGGTTAGCCAGTGCCTTACTCACTCAGTCACGTGGCCCCCTAGAGTGCATGTAGTAGAACCCTTGACAGATGGAATTCTTCCCACACCCTTTCGCATTGCGCCGTAACCATACAAATGAAATGTATGGTATTTTTCTCAAATTGTGTTATGCCGTGATAAATAACCCAGCAAGCGAATTATAGAAACATTGACGAGTGGAGCGTTTACAAGGTTTCGGTGCAAACAATAGAAAATCTCATTTGTGATAGCCGAACAAACACGTAACGTCTAAAAAAGAAAGAAAACGTAAGGCATCCCCTGATTGGCTTTGTGGCTGCAATTCCCGCGTTAGTTGAAGCAGTAAATTGTTTTGTAATTCAATTGAAATAACATAGAAACATATCTAGACAAATGGAACTGAAATGAAATGAAATGGGGTTTAACGTCCTACTGTTCTGCTCCTAAACTGGGCAAATGAAGACGGGCATACGCAATACCGTGTGCTATGAGGGAGATTTTCCCGGGCAGCGGCACTACGGTCTACTCTTATATCGAATTCCAACTGCCAAGGGATCTTTTACGTGCACGCCAATGTGTACACGGGACTTCGGTTTTTCGTCCCATCCGAACGACCTAGACAAACGGGACCGGGCATACAAATTCCGGGTTTAAATTTATTTATAACCCTCTGTAGAACAACCGTTTTGAACGATTTTTCAAAATTACTGAGAATTTTGAGCATCATTTATTATTTTCATTTGTTTTCCGCTTACTTGATAATTACAAATTATTGTGAAAATTATTATTTTTATTTGTTTTCTACGTACTTCTACATCCGAATGAGGCTATTCAAAACGGCAAAACCTCCATTTCCCATGCGAATTGGAACCATACAGCTAATATTTATTTATGATTCTTTTAAGTTTCATGGAAGCCACGATGGCCCAGTAAGTAAAATGTTGGCTCACTAACCTGGAGATCTCGTATTCTGTCCCATTGTTTGGTGTGTGTGTGTGTGTGTGGGGGGGGGGGGCTAGCAAGGGAAAACACATAGTCGCTATGGTGGGATGAAAAACCGAGGTCCCATGTACACATTGGCGTACACGTTAAAGAACCTTTGGCAGTTGAATTCGATATGAGTAGGCCGTAGTGCCACTGTCCGGGCAATTTCCCCTCTAGCACATTCTATTACGTATGCCCATTCCCGTTAGCCCAGTCGGAGTAGGACGTTAAAACTCTAAAACTCATTTCGTTTTTCAAGTTTCGTATACTTACAGTCGATTAGCTCAAATTGGTTATGTTGTTGGCAACCACCTTCAAATCTGCTTCTTTTACTTATACCTTTACTGGTTAGACGAACTATCTGACCTCGTGACAACACCTAGTAATAAATATACATATCTTTAATACATAACATAAGGAAACAGTTTGGGTTAAAAATCATATCCCACCCCTCTCTGCCACTCCCCCTTTTTACGACATATCCAATCATTGGAACCAATAGTCAAAATACAAAAGGACAGCACAGATCTGTTAGTAATGTGAAATCTTCAAACCATAAGTTTATGTATGTTATTGTGTCATCTGTGTAATATCTATTTTTAATATCTATTTTTAATATCTATTTTTAATATCTATGAGTAATATCTATGTGTAATATCTGTATGTAACATCTGTATGTAATATCTATGTGTAATATCTCTTTTGCAAACCCCGTGGTCAATAACAACGATAGTTACTTACCATTAAATATAGTCTAAATGACTTTTCTGGTGCTTGGGTCATTGAAACTTCTAGAGTAACAGTAGAATTACATTTTGCTGGTTTTTCTGGTGGTGTTATCTTGAGATAACTTCTGGTAGAGGAATACCATGGTTCAATAACTAATGAAGCACCGGGAGTTATCAGTGAATATTCATTAAATATACCTTTACTATATCTTATATCTACACCAATAACCTAAACAACAACAAAACTACGCTATTAACATCCCTGGCCATTAATGTCAACATATTGTTTCCATGGAAATGAAATGAAATGGGGTTTAACGTCCCACTTTTCTGCATCGATTTGGCTTATGAATACGGGCATACGCCATACAGTGTGCTATGACTGCTTTACGGGATAGTGATCCAATTCGACCTACTGTTATTTCGAATTCCAACTGGTAAGAACCATTTTACGTGCACGCCAAAGAATACGGGCATACGCCATACAGTGTGCTATGACTATACGGGACAGTGATCCTGTTCGACCTACTGTTATTTCGAATTCCAACTGGCAAGGGTTCTTTTACATGCACGCCAATGTGTACACGAAACTTGTTCGTCCCATCCGAACAATTAGACATTGTCCTTGCCAGTTATAATTTCTAATTGCAACTTGTATATACCGTAAACACGACATCAAACGAAGTATTAACGTTGTAAACGTTCACCCATTTCCATTTCATTAGTATAGGATAAACATTGAGCTCTACGCGTCATCATCACAATACTCAGGTTATTTTGAGACTGGCATAAGATTTTCATTTCAAATGATTGGACTATATATATCTGCAGTTACATGTAGACTCAAATCTGGCAAGCGAGAGAGAGAGAGAGAAATGGGGTTTAACGCCCACTCGACACAAACTAGGTCATTTCGGGACTAACACATGGTTCAATTTTATTTCAATAATTCGCTTGCGCGTAGGGGTCTTTAGCAGTGGGAGGAAACCGGAGGACCCGAGGAAAATCCACGAGGTTGGACAGGCGACCCTACTCCTTGTCACGTACACCGGGGAATCGAAACCCCGCCAGTTGACTCAATGACAGACCGTATGATACAGCGCAGAGCGCACGTGCTAACCATTCGGCCATCCAACCCCCCCCCCCCGAAATCTGGCAAGCAATCGCAGACATACACATGTTTCAATTTACGTGTCGTACGAATTTATTTTAGTGTTTTACAAGGAGTTTAAAGATACATTATGGGAGATTAGATAAAAAGCAGTTCTCACTATAATACATAAAAAGTAGATAATGTAAAGGGAATTTGCTGAAATTTCAGTCAAATTGATCCACTCTGAACCGAGATTTTAGCGATTGAATTTTCGGCCTAGTCTACATCATCATTACTAAAGTCAGTACGATAAGAAAACATAGTCTCGATTATCCATTTTATGAATAAATTATGAATGAAAGTCGAACAGCAAATCGGAACATAATCCAATAAACATCGCAGACTAGCGATACCATCGGGAGTTGGTTATGGTCTGGATAAGTTAATTAATATCTAATTAATAATTTAGATAACATTTCAGGCCTAAAGATAGACCCGCAATAGGCAGATTTAGCTCTTGCATAATGTATGTTTAATGCAAGCAATGTTTGGAAGGAGAATGTTGCTCGAACACAAGCTGTTCTAGCTATATACAATCTTTAACTAAGAGTTGACAGACACATTATGGCGGTTTGTTTACCTTTAAAACGATTTCGGTAGCATTAGAGGTCATGGCGGGAAAAGTATAAATTCCATATCCTTTGTCGTCTGTTACAATCTCTTTATCAAAACCTAGTTCTTCAGCTCGTATGGCAAGTGTTCTACCAATCGCAGGTTTTCCATTTAAATCTGTAGCCTTAACCTGTAATGATAATAATCATGGACATGATCCATTGTGATAAAAATGATTTGCTACATATTGTATTTGTATTTGGACATCCCTTAAATGAAAACCAATGTCAAATTTATTACAGCAGTTATTTGAACTTTAACCTTTTGACAGTTAAGGTCTACTGGAGGTTAACGTCTGCTTTCAAAGAGCTAGGGTTTTGAATGTACATACGAGGGCTGACTGAAAAGTTTTAAGGATATCTGGCATCCATTTATTTTTCTACATAGTAACCTTCGATGCATGCACACTTTTGTCAACGTCATTGCAAGGCCTGGATGCCGGTCAGGAAGACATTTTCTTCAGTCACGCAATAAACGTCGGTTATATATCTGACATGACGTCATCGTTACTTGGAAAATTACGACCGGCTAGTTCCTTTTCAATTTTTGGAAACAGGTGAAAATCTGACAGGGACAAATCGGGCGAAAAAAATGACGCTGCTTGTCACGGGGCACCAGGAAGCTGGCACGTTTCTGATCCGAAGTCAAGAGCTGCACCCATCTGGCAGAAATCTTTGTCATTCCTAACCCGTTGGCGAAAATATGCTCAGCCAGCTCATGAGAGATGCTCACAACACTGGCAATATGTCGAGTGGTCAATCGTCGATCAGCCATTCCCCAATCACCCTGTCATACACCCGGCTAATGTTTTTGTAATGGTTGCTGTTGGTGGCCCTCTAGGGCGCGAGTCAGCGTCAAGGCTCTCTCAGCCACGCTTAAAATTAGCAATCGACTTCTTTTCTTTGGAAAGGGATGGGGCATCATTCCCTGAAGAGGAGAATATGTCGGCATGTATCCGTCCTTTCTGTTGCAGGTACTTCATGACTGCCCTATAGCTAGTTTTGTCCATTTCTTGTGATTGCAATGGGTAGGTCCACAAAATGGTCTGGTACAAAGACAATAATAATACTACAGTTGCAGTTCTCATGTCTATGATTCATTTAATGATTGTACTTAATCTATCCTTTTCAGGCTTAGACCTTTTCAGTCAGAACTCGTACCTCAGCATCATTTATTCCTTCCAATAGAATAGAATTTACTTTCCAACTTAATAACTGTTTTCCGTTCGAGTGTACTTTTCTTCTAGTTGTGTAAATGACTTTTTGAAAATATGACCCACATCATTATGTGCAATTGTCTGTTATAAAATAATAAGTTGTTGTTTTCATAATAAGACCGACCTTTATATGGTATGGTAAACCGGGTTTATAAAATGGTTCTGACTGAGTTTTTATATCCAGAAATAAATCCATTAAACTTATAATAGTTTTGTTTGTACTCTTGGAGATGACAATGTCTGGAAATACACAATACATTATTTATTAAAAGAAAGTTCATACCTATTTTTGGAAAAATGAAGGAAACGGCGTATAACCGCCTACATCCATTCCGGTATAATAATAACAGTTGCCTTTTCGTCCCGTATAATAACGGGGGAGAGAGAGAAATGGGTGTTTAACGTCCACTCGACACAAACTATGTCATTTCGGGACTAGCATAAGTCACGTACAACCGGGGATTCGAAACCACGCCAGTTGACTCAACGACAGACGTTATGATACAGCGCGAATTTGCTAACCATTCGGCCAACCACCTCCCCACCCCTCTCCCTAATGATAACGGTAATTACTCTTTTTATCAAAGGGCACAGTATAAATATGCGGATAACCCATGCAAGCAATGGCCTTACTGGGTTTGTTTCAGCAAAACAATTATAATAGCGGAACAAACTTCGTACGAAATCATTCTGAAATGTTAAACAAGATTGTTGTAATCAGGTGACATAACTCTTTGAGATATAGTCGGGGAAATTGTTCATTATTGATAAAACAATTTCCCTGTTGCCAATCGTAATGTTTATAGGCGATGGGTGTGTTTCTGAAAGTCGTCAACATTTACCAATCAAAATACAATATATATATATATATATATATATATATATATATATATATATATATATATATATATATATATATATATATCTTCCTTTTAACACGCCGAACCGTTTATTAGGTAGATCTACATCAATGGACACGGGGGCCGAATGGTTAACGCGTGTGCGTTGCATCATAAGGTCTATTCATTGAGGCAAGTGGTGTGGTTTCGATTTCCCGCTTGTTTGTGATCAGAAGTGGGTGTTCTCCGGTTCCTCCAGCTTCCTCACACTGCTAAAGACCCCTACGCGCAAGCGAATTAATGAAATTAAATTAAAACCATATGTTAGTCCCAAAATGACATGTGTCGAATGGTCGTTAAACCCCATTTCTCTCTCAGTGGCAACAATTCTAGCAATTAGCATCATAAATCGCTTCAATTCAGATGTAGCCAGGGGATGAGTGTTCACTCTGTTACTGTAGAAAATCATTAGTGTGTGTATGTGTTTGTGTTGGTGGGGTGGTGGGGAGGGATATGGTGGTCACCCATTTCACAATGATACAATATTACGACAGGTTACAAAAAAGAAGTATGATTAATTTCACCTGTTGCGTTGTCTAAAACAGAAGCTGTCATATCAATAAGTGAGTCGTCCAAGATAAACTGCTTCATCTTAAGTTGTAGTTGACTGGTGTTGACAGAAAATTGATGGCAGCCATCAATCTGAAACATTAAAAAAAAAACGTGCTAGAAAAAAAATGTTGAGTTATTCTGTGATTTCTTTATTCTGACTCACTAACAAATATTTACAAGTATGGATCCCAGTGTGGGCTTAAAGAGTTCCTCTGGATTTTTTGGCACGGTTTCCCCTTGTCAGTGGTACATGATAGGGGAGAGGTGGAGCGGAATAGGTATGTAATTGTTTGAAAGGAACAAAAAAAATAATACAGATCTCTTGTATAACATTGACAGTAAGTTAAGGTGCCTAATCCTTCGGATAGAACAAAAACGTTGATGACTCTTGTATAACATTTACAGTAAGTTAAGGTGTCTAATCATTTGGGCCGAACAAAAACATTGATGTCTCTTGTATAACTTACATTGACAATAAGTTCAGGTATCTAATCGTTCGGGTGGAACAAAAAAAGGAGGTCTCTTGTATAACATTGACAGTAAGTTAAAGATCCCCAGACAGAAATCAAAATAAGAATATCCCCCGTAGCACACTGTGTGACGTATGTTCGTCTTCATTAGCCCAGGTGAATCAGAACAGTAGGGCGTTAAACCCCATTTCATTTCATTAATTTCTGTTGACATGTATTAAACGCCAATCGTTTTATAAACATGCAGGAATTATCTGATGACCTGACAACCTAAGTGTTTTTCTAATGATTTCAAAATTGCACCAGTCAGAAGCTGAATATACGAAACCGTTGTGGGGCATTTAATAAATCAAACACATAATGAGTGGGAAAAATGGTTATTTGAATGAAGCAAGGCGAAACTTTGGCTCATTGCAAATAGTAGAATAAAATATGAGTACCTCTGAGTAGAAGTATATACAGGGTCTCTTTTTGCTGTATGGACTTATATAGGTTGCAGTTACTACACATGCTGTCATCTTCAATCTTCCTTTTACTGGTTGACCGTATGTATACCTGGTAAATATACAGATTCTAAATGAAATCAAATGGTTTTTTACGTCTGGTTGCTTTCTGAAACGACTGGGCTATTGCAGACGAACATACACCATGCTATGGGGGAATTTTCGCAGAAAAGCTGGAAATCGACCTACTCTTAATCGAATTGGGGCGTTGCATGGCCGAATGGTTAGTGCGTGCGCGTTGTGTCATAAAGTATGTCATTGAGTCAACTGTCGTGGTTTCGATTCCCCTGTTGCGCGTGCAAAGGAGTAGGGTCGCCTGTCCAACGTATACACGGGGACTTGATGTTTCGTCCCACCCGAACGAATAAACCTTGGTAGCCCTTCAATCTCCACCACTGACCGGACGAGACCGCGCCGAGGAAATACCCCAGTCTCCACCGGGATAGACTCCGGAGTCTCCTATTTAAAGAGCAGACGCTTTACTTACAGTGGCTCTTCGATCAAATTTGTTATCCTGCGGTGTGGTTCAAAAAGCAAAAAGGGTGCAGTAGTCGAACGGTAGCGGCACAGGTCACAGTCTCCTGGGTTTCAATCGTCCGTTTGTCGAGAATAACCGTCTGGATTTTTCAACCCAGGCATTCACTTCATGGATCTAGCGCACTGGTGGGCCTTGGGTTAGGTCTAGATATTAAGGTCACCTGCAGATTTCGTCAAGCGCTAACCCTAATCCTAACGCTAGATCTATCCCTAATCCTAAACGTAAGCCACAATCATGTCAAAAATCACCTGCAACCCTATTTACATCTCGCGACCTTGGCGAAATCTGCAGGTGGCCTTAATATTTAGAACTGACCGTTTGCATAATCGTACGAATTGTGGGGCAGAAGTCTGAGGACAACTCGTGCACATTTTGCGGTGCATACAAAATAAACTTTGACAAGTGGAGATCAAAGGAAAATAGGCGTAAATGCCTCTATTCGGGCACAATCCTGTAATTGCACGTTATTCTAGTAAACGGTTAACGCGTGTGCGTTGCATCATAAGGTCTGTCATTAAGTCAAGTGGCGTGGTTTCGATTCTCCGCATGTACATGACAAGTAGTAGGATCACCTGTCCAACCTCGTGGGTTTTCCGGGTCCTCCCACTGCTAAAGACCTTTACGGCGCAAGCAAATTATTGAATAAAATTAAACCATATGTTAGTCACGAAATGACCTAGTTTGTGTGACGCTCTCTCTCTCTCCCTCTCTCTTTCTCTCTCTCTCAATCTCAAAATGACCGATGAATTGTGCTGACGAGACGATATCAAAACAAATATATATGTAACACAAATGACAATAAAAGTAACTTCTCAAACTGACTAAAGAGTAGCCCGAGAATATACACATAGCAGCAGCTCAGAATATCTGTATATCACTAAATTGGGTATATTTTTGTAAAATAATTAAGTCTCTTTAACTGAATGATAATAATTGTTGGATGATGTTTCATGGATATCCAGAAATGGATAAGAATAAGAATATACAATTTGTATTTTCATACATTATGCCCCCGCCAGACCGGGGTGGCGTCCTTACTGCGCTGCTGCGACCGTACGGCGACCAGAAAATGCACAAGGTCGCCGGCAAACGTGAACACAACGCGAGAAAATGTCCCCAAAAATTACAAACTTGAAAAAAGTCGCGTTCTCATAGCTTTCCAGTTCAGATCGCAGAGCCTTGACGTTTGTTTTGAACATGCTCAAAACAAACGCCGTGGCTCGGCGATCATTGGCGATCATTGGCGACCATGGAGACCACATCACGATAGATGGCGTTTCCACCACGCATATATGGCGATCTTGACGCGGTCTAAAACCATTTTCCATCGCCGTAGCAGCGGTCTGACGGGGGTATTAAAGGGGCAATAACACTCTTGTTGGCTTGAAAGCTCCAGAAAATAAAAAATATCTCTATCTAAGTACTAGATGTTTAAGTGTCCTACCTGTTGTGTAAATTATCCATTACATCATATTTTACTTGTCCAGAGGGTTCGAAAATATTTTTAAATCGAAGTTTCATTTGAAAAGGTTTACGTTAGACGTTTCAAACCATTATGTTGAATTTTTCAAAATTTTTAAATACGGTGTGTTAAGATGAAATTTGTATCATTAATTAATTGAAATATTCTAAAGTTGTACAATTTGTTGACCAGAATAAAGATTGGGACATATTATTCAGTTACAACAAGAGTGGTATTGAGCCTTTAAGAATTCAAATATGAATAAAATAGAAATCCGCCCGCTCAACACAAACTAGGTCATTTCGGGACTAGCATATGGTTCAATTTTTATTTTAATAACCCGCTTGCGCATAGGGGTCCTTAGCAGTGGGAGGAAACCGGAGGACCCGGCGAAAACCCACGAGGATGGACAGGCGACACTAGTCCTTGTCACGTACAACCGGGGAATATAAACCACGCCAGCTGACTCATGACAGACCTTAGGATACAACGCGCACGCTCTAACCAGTCGACCATCCAACCCCCCTAAATATGTAAAATACATGCTTGATAAACGATAATGCTGAATTATATAGAAAATAATTTACATGGCACAAACTTCGCCTTCAATCGTCTCTGACTCAATGGTTATATATGGTGGAGGGCTGATCGTCAATTCAAATTTTGGTAAAACTAAAAATAGAAAACAAAAATTAATTCATTTACAAACTGTCGATCCATTGGTTATAAATAGAGATAAATAGAGGTGTTTATCATACACGTGGCATATCATGCTTAATTTTATTCTGTGTCCAATTCCTAATACCACCGGCCGACTAACCATTTCAGATGTGAAACGAGTGCACAGGAAAAAACACTCTCCAAAAGGTCGCGACCTGTCTGGGTTTGGTTCATAAAATATCAACCTCGGCGTTGCAGATGTTTTTTTAATTTTGTTCATTATCCAGTCAGTATTATACTAATGTAAACTATTAGTACACACAACCCTCAGAGAAGAGATTCGCGGGGGAGGGGGTGGGGAGGGGACGGGGTGAAGGTAAAATTTGCGAGATAAAATTCCTTGCTGTTTTAAAAGGTCCGTATGATCCCTTGCAATAGCCGATTTAATTGTCGAAAGTTTACGTCTCGTTACTATTATATTAAAATAAAACCCCTATTACACTTATTCCCATAAATAGAAAATTTGATAGATCAAGCTCGCCTCGTTGCTAGTTAAAATAATACATCACACCAAGCGGGGCTAAATATGGCTAAATCTATTTGTTAAGGCCAGTTCAATTTTTGTCAAGGTCGATAGATGTAAATAAGGTTAAGGCACGTGATTGTTGACGAGATTGTAGGTTAGGGTTAGGGTAAGCATTGGAGCTAGGTCCAGGGTTAGGTTTAAGAATTTGGGGGAGAGGTTGAGTCTCTACATAAGCACTGACCTAGGATGATGAAAATTCAGTTCGTGATACATGTATTTCCTGGCTTTATAAAAATACATCCAATACATTGAATTTTATATCATTTAGCACTAACCGGCCAAGTATGACGCTTGCTCACTAAGATTATCCAACCGGAAGTCAGCGATGAAAATATAGAAATTATATGAAATCCCTCATAATACCAATAGAAGCCCGGATAACTTCCAAGATTCTAACATTGGTTTATATGTGTCAACATGATCTTTCCCCATGTTATCTCACGGATCTCATTCAATCATATCAACCAAATCGATCACTTCGCTCACAAAATCAGCCCTCATTAGTTGTGCCGCAAGCTAAACTGAAATCCTATGTCTGTGGACCGCGTTTGTGGAATAACTTACCGTTGGCGATGCAGAGTTCTCAAACATTAGCTGTGTTCAAATCCAAACTCAAAACTCAGTTGTTTGTTACATATTATCAGGATTAGCTATTATCTTCCATGAGCTTAGAACATGCAATATGGATGGAGTGAGCGAAATTACAAATGTACATTTTTATTACTATTATCATTATATTGTTCATTCCGATTCAGATTATTGAATAAAATATTGTTTAAATTATTTTAATTATTTTTATATTTCAACCATTACTGTGACATTACTCACCATATTCCTCTATTGTAAATGGTGTAGTTTTAACTGTCGATCCAACTGACGTCACAATTTTCCATGAACCTAGAACTGGTTCCTTAGATAGCTGGAATTCCAAACTTATTAGACCTGTGAATATATAATTATTAATGATCAAATTTATTAAATGGAAACCTGCTAATTATTTTGATACGTTAGGAAACCACAATATTTCATTGCGATCAATGGAAATGACGCTTGGGGTGAAATGAAATGGGGTTAAACAACCTATTTTTTCTGCTAAAACGGGCCAATGAAAAGCCATGCTGTATACTATACTATGAGGGAAATTTGGCCCAGCCAGTAAGGTTCATGCCCACCTTTCATCGAATTCCTACTATCAAGTGTACTCTTATTTTCGTCCTATCCGAACGACTAGCCAAGAATTGAAGTCCCGTGTGCACATTGGCATGCATGTAAAAGAACCCTTGGCAGTTGAAATTCGATATAGGCCGTAGCACCGCTGTACGGACAGAATTTCAATCATAGCACATTGTATGGCGTATGCCCGACTTTATTAGCCCAGTCGGAGCAGAACAGTACGATAAAAACACCATTCCATTTCATTTCCGAGTGACTATAAGCGATTTGCTTGCCAGGAATTTTGAGCAAATTATTGAAAGAAACACAATTCCCAAACACTTTTCGAAAATTCAAAATTTATGTATGAGCTGTGACGTCACATCAGTGTTCCATAGCAAAGTATAGCGAATTGTCATTGGCTTTAGTCTCTATCATCCAGAAAAATATTCTATGTTGAAGACGAAAAAGGTTCTGAGAGACCGATTCTACATTGGCCCTTACAGCGAAAGTAAAGGCCCAATTTATGTATACTTCCTCTCCGGTACACTCAGATATAGTTACTGTAGTAACGTAAATTGTATCGGCTCTGCCTTCTACTACGTTACTGTCAGCTTCTAATGACAACTGAAATGAAATGAAATGGGGTTTAACGTCCTACTGTTCTGCTCCTATACTGGGCTAATGAAGACGGGCATACGCCATACAGTGTGCTGAGGGAAATTTTGCCCGGGCAGCGGCACTATCGCCTACTCTTATATCGAATTCCAACTGCCAAGGGATCTGTTACGTGCATTCTAATGTATACACGGGACCTCGGTTTTTCGTCTCATCCAAAGGACTAGTAATAACAACTAGTATGAAATTTGGAATATTGGCTGAGCGTTAGTTGTTTATGTTTTTGTATCGCGTAATTCTACATGAAAATAGTGTTGGATTTTTATAAATTTGTGTTGGATGTGACAAGAAATGATTCCTTTTGGCGACCAGAGAAGAATCGCAGTGAAAAATAGACGATAAGGGTTCCAAAATAGCCTTAGAATCCGAGATGGGGAAAGCCTTATTTTCATACTAATTGTCATTAGAAGCTGACAGTAACGTAGTAGAAGGCAGAGCCGATACAATTTACGTTACTAAAGTAACTAACTCAGATATACAACAATGTATCAGATTTATTAAATACCGGGCCGAGACTTGGATTTTTAACATATTTTGCTTTTAATGTAATATTAATTTCAGCATTTATATATATATATAACCTATAATTGCATGTTTAATCAAATTTTTAAGTGCACGCGTATTATAACAATGTGTTTCACAGAGGATTGCGAAAGTCTTCTAATATCTCTGTAAAAGATGACTGTCTTTAACATGTGACGTCAAATCACGCGGCGTCAATAAGACGTTACTGGTTCGGGCGGAATGGTGCCTGTTACTCATTTTAATACCCATTTACACTAAATAGGAAATAATTTTTACCTACAAATACTTCAAACGTCTTTATTTATTTTTCTGATGCATAAAAAAATGTTTTAGAATTTAATTTGTCGGAGGCAAAAGGTTAATATTTGGGGCTCATTGAGTCGCATCGATGTCATCCTTATCAGTGATTGTAGCGTCCTAGAGAATATTCACTGCTGATCAGCGTGGTACTATAACTTAATAGAGAGAAAGAAATGGGATTTAACGTTCACTCGACACAAACTAGGTCATTTCGGGACTAACATATGGTTCAACTTTATTTCCATAATTCGCTTGCGCGTAGGGGTCTTTAGCAGTAGGAGGAAACCGGAGCACCCGGAGAAAACCCACGAGGTTGGACAGGCGATCCTACTCTTTGTCACGTACAACCAGGGAATCGAAATCACGCCAGTTGTATCAATGACAGACTTTATGATACAGCACGCACGTGCTAACCATTCGGCCATCCAACCCCCTATAACTTAATAACTTTGTGATGGGTGTCTGAAGAAATATGAAAAAATCAAAGAACAACATTTCTCTAAAGCCTTAAAACTCGTATTTTCTAATCTATTTTTTAACGCATAGATTACTTTATTGTATTAAATTCCCAAATTGATCGTCCATAGGTCAAATGGAGCATTTTGTGGGTTGATCAATTACGACAGAAGTCAGAACGGAGAAGTGAGAAGAATATATAATACATGTACTTGATTATAAGTTTACGAGCTCCCAAAATATCTTACTAATTCCGAAATGTCGGTCAAATAAGGGTCAGGTCTAAACATTAAGGCCACCTGCAGATTTCGTCAAGGTCACGAGATGTAAACAGGGTTATGGCACGCGATTATTGCCGATGATTGGGGATTAGGTCTAGGGTGGGGTTAGGGTGTGGCAGATATTTCGGACTACGTTGCCGCTTGGATTATAAAGATTTAATTTCAAAGATTAAACCTACCTGATAGTGATCTTATATCCAACCATTGTTTCATTATAACACCGTCTGGATCTTTTATGAGTATGGATGATACCTGATACGAAAAAGAAAAAAAAAACCCCAAAAACATTCATTTTAATCCATTTACAGCTAATTAACTGAGAGAGAGGGGGGATTTAACGTCAACTCGACGCAAACTAGGTCATTTCGGGACTAACATATGGTTCAATTTTAATTCAATAATTCGCTTGCACGTAGGGGTCTTTAGCAGTGATAAGAGACCGGAGGACCCGGAGAAAACCCACCAGGTTGGACAGGCGATATTACTCCTTGTCCTCGTACAACCTGGAAATCAAAACCCCGCCAGTTGACACAATGATAGACCTTATGATACAACGCGCACGCGCTAAACATTCGGCCATCCAACCCCCAAATTCGGGTTATATCCGATGTTAGATTTAAGAAAAAGTATGTATATATTCTATAGCAGGAATAAAATAAAACCAAGTACGAACAATCCAAACCATAAGACAGAATTCGAAGTCCTAAAAAACGTTATAGGCAAAATAGTGTATTCAGGCTAAACAGTGTAATCAGCAAATGGACTGCTCCTCGTGTACAAAATACACGACAAACAGTGGTAACAGGTGTCCGGAAGAGTAAGCTTACCCAAAATAAATAAAATGAAATGAAATGGGGTTTAACGTCCTACTGTTCTGCTCGGACTGGGCTAATAAAGACGGGCATATGAGGGAAATTTTGCCGGGCAGCGGCACTATGGCTTACTCTTTTTATCGAATTCTAACTGCCAAGGGTTCTTTTACGTGCACGCCAATGTATTCATGGGACCTCGGTTTTTCTTCCAATCTGAACGACTAAAGAGCTGTCCTTGTCAGGCCCTCCGTCCTGCATCACTAACAAGGGAAAGCTATATCGAAAAATCTCAATGAACTTTCTCGGCAAATGTAGGGATCGGACACATGGTTAGCGAACCAGCGTCGTACCTACTTAATCACCGTGGCTCCCTGGAATAAAATAAGAACAATTGATCACTATTCCCAATTGGTGTATCCTATGACGATCGAGGGGTGGCCCCTGGCTCCAACATCGCTAACCAACCATCCATGCATGCTATTTTTTCTTAGGACGTAAATCCATGATTATACTTACGTTTCCACCGCGAAGAAAAATTTTCATGTTGTTTTTTTATTTACCATAGTTTTCATTACGAAAAAGTCGTCGATTATAGGGGGTTGGAAGGCCGAATGGTCTGTCATTGAGTCAACTGGCGTGGTTTCGATTTCGCGGCTGTACGTGACAAGGAATATAGTCGCCTGTCCAACCTCGTGGGTTTTCTTTGTGTCCTCCGGTTTCCTCCCATTGATAAAGACCCCTATGTGCAAGTGAATTATTGAAATAAAATTGTACTATATGTTAGTCCCGAAATAAGCTATTTTGTGCCGAGTGGACGTTAAACTCCATTTCTTATCTCTCTAATATGAGTTAAATTAATAGAAAACGGTATAAATTAAAGAATGGAACCAATAGGTCACCATAATTCTATTCATTAAAAATGGTATTCCAACATACTAAAAACATATCTTTGAATTCGTGCATCCACAAATAAAGTTACCTAAGGCAGTTACTTTTTTTTATCTACATGTAGTATTTGAAAGCAGTTTATTTTGTCTATATATTTCAGTGTAGTTCCAATTAGCCCGTAAAAAGATCCATCATGATGTATGAGATATCACTTAATCACGAAGCAGGGGTTAAATAAATATGATTCACGCACTGAAAGAAACCAGGATATCCCAGACATTCTATAATTCTTCCCCGTGTGCCAATCAGGAATCAAATGTAATTTTCATGCACTTGATTGCAGCCATCCAGGGGGTAATAACAGGTGATCTTTGTGGTTTATACCCCCGTCAGATCGGGATGGCATGGTTACTGTGCCGCTAAAGCGACGGAAATTGTCTAAGAGCGCGTCAAGGTCGCCAAAAGCGTGATAAAAGCATGGTGGAAACGTCAGAAATCGTGCTATGGTCTCCATGGTCGTCAATGATCGCTGACTCACGGCGTTTGTTTTGAGCATGTTCAAAAAGATAGAGAAAAAAGGGGTTAACGCCACTCGACACAAACTAGGTCATTTCGGGACTAACATAAGATTAAATATTTTATTTCAATAATTCGTTTGCGCGTAGGGTTCTATAGCACTGGGGGAAACCGGAGGACCAGGAGAAAATCCACGTTCATGGAGATGTTACCACGCTTGCCTCGGGATTTCGCTACTCCACCGCGTTCTCGCAACTTTCCATTGCAGGTCAGATCGCAGAACATTGTCGTTTGTTTTGAACATGCTCAAAACAAACGATGTGACTCGGTGATCATTGGCAACCATGGAGATCACAGCACGATATCTGGCGTTTCCACCACGCGTTCACCTATATGGCAATCTTTCCGCGCTCTGAGACCATTTTCCGTCGCCGTAGCAGCGCAGTAAGGACGTGGTAGACGATTGGTCAGGGATCGGACGACTCGACTAATCAAAACCTTCGATCCACGCAATATATCCTACACTTCTGAGCTAGGCTCAACTAAAAAAAAATAACCCGTTTTCGAATTCCGACGCGGGCCGAGAAGACCATTCGGGATTATTCTATGCCGGCCTTCGTAAAAGGACCCTTGGCAATTGAAATCGAACGGCAAGAGAGAGAGAGAGAAATGGGGTTTAACGTCCACTCGACACAAACTAGGTCATTTCGGGACTAACATATGGTTTAATTTTATTTCAATAATTCGCTTGCGCGTAGGGGTCTTTAGCAGTGGGAGGAAACCGGAGGACCCGGAGAAAACCCACGAGGTTGGACAGGCGACCCTACTCCTTGTCACGTACAACCGGGGATTCGAAACCACGCCAGTTGACTCAATGACAGACTTTATGATACAGCGCGTGCGTGCTAACCATTCAGCCATCCAACCCCCCGAACGGCAAGACCTTTTTACCTCGCACTTAACACTTAAGCATAGAAATACAAGTCACCATTAATTTTTTTGTCTCAAACGTGATAGGTTGAGATAATATAAAAAAAATGAAATGAAATGAAATGAGATGGGGTTTAACGTCCTACTGTTCTGTTCCGATCTGGGCTAGTGAAGACGGGCATACGCCATACAGTGTACTATGAGGGAAATTTTGCGCGGATAGCGGCACTACGGCCTACTCTTATATCGAATTCCAACTGTCAAGGGATCTTTTGCGTGCACGCCAATGTGTACACGGGACCTCGGTTTTTCATTCCATCAGAACGACTAGACAGCTGTCCTTGTAATGCCCCATGTCGAGATAATAAACAGCAATCCATGCTGTTACACTTCACGTCAAAATAGTTTGACAAATGAAGCCAATTACTTACCGATTTGTTGGTTTGCTTTAAATCAGTATTAATAACTAACACTCGGAAATTCACTGAAATAAAAACATCAATGAATGAATGAATGAATAAATGAATGGATGGATAGGTAGAGGATTGAATGAATGAATAAACAATGAATGAATGAATAGAGACATGAGAGAGAGGGAGAGAAATGGGGTTTAACGTCCACTCGACACAAACTAGGCCATTTCGGGACTAGCATATGGTTTAATTTTATTTCAATAATTCGCTTGCGCGTAGAGGTCTTTAGCAGTGGGAGGAAACCGGAGGACCCGGAGAAAACCAACGAAGTTGGACAGGCGTCCCTAATCCTTGTCATGTACAACCGGGGAATCGAAACCACGCCAGCTGACTCCATGACAGATATTATGATGCAACGAGCACGCGCTTACCAATCGCCCCCCCCCCCCCATGAATAAATGAACAACAATAAATGAATGAAATGGGATTTAAGGAACCTCTGTTTTTCGTCCTATTCGAACGACTAAACACTGTTCCTTGCCAGGCCCTCCGCAATGCACCACTGATAAGGCCCAGAATATTTCTGAAGGTGACCTTAATATTTAGATTTAACCGTATTTACCTGTTTGTCCTGGTTTATAAACTGGTTTGTCTGTTTGTATAAAAGTTAAGATCGGATCTGTTACATCAAACGTAAGTTCTCCATCAATTATAACTTTTCCACTATTATCACCAGTGATAGCTATCTTATGACGCCCGGGACTCTGGGTGGTAGGTATTGTAAACTCAAAACATTTTGCTCTCGCTGCAAAAAGAAAACTCAGGACAGACCAGAGCGATAACAGAATATGGTGAAACATTGAATAAAATAATACATAATAAAATGATAGGATAGTGATACATGTGACGGAATGCCACATAGGATAGCGTGGTACACATGGCGGAATGACAGATAGGATAGTGTGATACACATGACAGAATGACAGATAGGATAGAGTGATACACATGACGGAATAACAGATAGAATAGAGTGATAATCATGACGGAATGACAGATATGATAGAGTAGTACACATGACGGAATGAAAGATATAATAGAGTGGTACATAAGACGGAATGCCAGATATGATAGAGAGGTACATAAGACGGAATGCCAGATAGAATAGAGTGATACACATGACTGAATGACAGATAGCTTAGAGTGGTACACATGACGGAATGCCAGATAGAATAGAGTGATACACATAACATGACGGAATGCCAGATAGGATAAAGTGGCACATAAGACTGAATGCCAGATAGGATAGAGTGGCACATAGGACTGAATGGCCGATAGGATACAGTGATACACGGGACGGTATGGCAGATAAATAAGGAATAGGACAGAGTGATACCTACGATGGAATAGCGTGATAGATAGGACAGATTGGTGGATTTGGCGAAATGATAAATAGGATAGAGATATACGCATGACAGAATGACAGATACGAAAGTGTGGCAGATAGGACTGATATTATAAATTGAAAAATAGGACAGGTTGAACCACACACTGATCCGCAGTGAATATTCGCTAGGCCGCGACAATCACTGATAAGGATGACATCGATGCGACTTAATGAGCCACAAATATTAACTTTTTTCCTCCAACAAATTAAATTCTAAAACATTTTTTTATGTATTAGAAAAATAAATAAGAGGGAAATTTTGCCCGGGCAGCGACACTATCGCCTACTCTTATATCGCATTCCAACTGCCAAGGGATCTTTTAAGTGCATTCCAATGTATACATGGGACGTCGGTTTTTAATGTCATCCGAAGGACTAGACAGTCTGCCTTTGTCCGGCCCTCCGTCCTGCATCACTGACAAGGGGGAACCACGCCGGAAAATCTGGATGAACTTTCTCTGCCAATGCAGGGATCGAACACCCGACCTCTAGGCTAGCCAGCCAGCGTCGTACCCACTTAGCCACGTGATCCCCATACATCGAGAGAGAGAGAGAGAGAGAGGGAGAGAGAGAGAGAAATGGTGTTTAACGTTCACGCGACACAAGCTAAGTCATTTCGGGACTAACATATGGCTCAATTTTATTTCAATAATTTGCTTGCGCGTAGGGTATAGCAGTGGGAGGAAACTGGAGGACTCGGAGAAAACCCACGATGTTCGACAGGCGAACATACTCCTTGGCACATACAACCGGTAAATCGAAACCACACCAGTTGACTCGATAACAGACCTTATAATACAGCGCGTACGTGCTAACGTACCATTCGGCCATCCAACCCCCCCCAAACAACATCGAACGTGATATGGTTTACAAATACTATTTTAAATATAAGCTAAACAGCATTTGCTAATTTTTATTTAAAGCAAGTGCAGATTTGGAGAATTTTATTTGATTTTTTTTTTTTTTACAATTGAGCCAATTAATATTTATATATACTGTACGGTCTATATTAACACAGGATACACAATTACTGAGTTTAATACTAAGCGACGTTTCGACGAGGATACACTCGTCTTTATCAGGCCCGTCTCTCTCGCTCTCTCTGGGAATCACGTGGCTAAGTGGGTAAGACGCTAGCTCGCTAGCCTGGAGGTCGGGTGTTCGATCCCTGCATTGGCCGAGAAAGTTCATCCAGATTTTCCGGCGTGGTTCTCCCTTGTCAGTGATGCAGGACGGAGGGGCTGACAAGGAAAGCTGTCTAGTCGTTCGGATGGGACGAAAAACCGAGGTCCCGTGTACACATTGGCGTGCACGTAAAAGATCCCTTGGCAGTTGGAATTTGATATAAGAGTAGGCCGTAGTGCCGCTGTCCGGGCAAAATTTCCCTCATAGCACACTGTATGGCGTATGCCCGTCTTCATTAGCCCAGGTTAGGAGCAGAAAACTAGGACGTTAAACTCCATTTCATTTCATTTCATTTCTCTCTCTCTCAGCAAATTTCAGCACTCTGTCCAACCTTCAACCCGACGAAGGACGAGTCGTTTATATCAACATAATGGTCCCGACCAGTTGCGCAATCACCAAGTGAGCACGCAGTGGCGACACCAAACGACTTTATAATGATGGTTGCTAGGTAGAATGTAAAAATTCTGAATTCGTTGATGTTGATGCTAAACGTGTAAAGCATCAATGAAGAAGACGTTTTTGTCTAAATAATAGAAATAAGATGAAATAGAATTACAATTTACACTGAACAAATAAAGAAATTACATGAACAGATGTTAGAAGTTAGACGAAAGCATTTTATAATTTTGAATCTAATATACCGCCATATAAAACAACCTTAACCAAGACAATTATATCTGATTTTCGGGAAAGGGCGTGCCGAAGGGGTGAGGTTGGGGGTATGAGGCGCAATCAATAGACGATACTACGATGGAGGTCTGTATTGAAGTTATTAGAATGGGTTTAACGTCTTGCACGTAGATCTGCGACAACCGGGGTAATTAATGAAGACAGCGCGTGCGCCGTGTAATGTGCGATGAAAGGCGTTTAGAAAGGTATAGGCGGAAAATTTAGTTTTCTGGACACAAAATTTAATAATTGAATACTATTGTTGATTCGGGACTCACCGACTCTTATAATCGAGTTTCAAAAAGGTCAAAAAGGATAAATTATTAAAGTTTAGTAGGTGTTTTAAAAAAGCTAAAGTCTGATGACGTCATCAGTCTGTGCAAGATATGTATACGATCTGTGGGACACTGGAGATTTGTTTTTAAGACTTTAACAGACAACTTCCGAGTTTGGTTCAAATATGAAGCGTATCAATAAACGTTTTAGTACGTAATCGATTCCACCCAATGATTCTTGATCTATGTATGTTATAAATAAAATGAACTGAAATGGGGTTTAGCGTCCTACTGTTCTTTTCCGACTGTGTTAATGAACACGGGCATACGCCATAAAGTGTGCCATGAGGGAAATTTTGCCTTGACAGCAGCACTATGACCTACTCTTATATCCAATTCCAACTGTCTATAGGGATATTTTACATGCACACAAATCCCGATTGACCTTTCTCGTCCAATGCAGAGATCGAACACGCGACCTCCAGGCTAGTGAACCAGCGTCTTACCCACTTAGCCACCGTGGCTCAAATTTATGAATAATATAATGACATTCAATTATTTTTTTGAATTGTCAGATATCCTCTTACAGTCTCATATAACATCTTTTAGTCTTCGAAGGAATTATTACTGAGCAGAAAGTCGCCCGTGTATCTGTTATCACTCGTCACTTCAGTCAGTTATACAGAGGAATAACTCGTGTTTTCCTTTTGCGTTTGTCACTTCCGATTGTTGAAACCTTCATCACGCATCTATCGTAGCAATGATCTCTGTGTTGAAATTATATTTGAAACGTGTTTAACCAGTTCTATCACATAATGTGATAATGACTGACACCAATATTGTCCTTTAATTCTTACTTCACGGCCTTATTTAGGTTTTATGTCGCCTTGGCTTGCTCATTAAATTTTGTTCAGGGCTTCTTGTGACGATTGGGACCTCTGGATGAAACGGCTTATGATAAAACATCCGATTAAGTCGCAGTGGAATTGTGATAAATCCCACACCGCCAACGAAATATTGAGAAGGATAATTATCTCTATGAAAAAGCAGGTGGCTATTGGCAGTAGTGACAATCTATGGCCTACACAGACAACCAATTATAATCTCTGAGACGTTATGGACACCACTAGACCGGTCATTGATATCCATGTTATAACGACCACTTGACCTGCGCCCCCAGGAATATGAAAGTACATTTCTAATTAAAGGGACAATAACACTCTTGCTGGCTTGAAAGCTCCAGAAAATAAATAATTTCTCTATCTAAGTACTAGATGTTTAAGTGCCCTACCTGTTGTGTAAATTATCCATTACATCCAATTTTACTAGTCGAGAGGGTTCGAAAATATTTTGTTAAATTGAAGTTTCATTTGAAAAGGTTTATGTTAGACGTTTCAAACCATTATGTTGAATTTTTCAAAATTTTTAAATAAGGTGTGTTAAGATGAAATTTGTATCATCAATTAATTGAAATATTCTAAAATAGTACAATTTGTTGACCAGAATAAAGATTGGGACATATTATTCAGTTACAACAAGAGTGGTATTGAGCCTTTAAGGCGATGTCTACTAAATATGACATGCGAACAAGTCGCTTTGGGTGATAATGCCCATACAAAATCTGTCCTGTCTATCTATAAATACTCATATATACATTTATTTTTGTTTAGATGTGTATCTAATTTTGTTTTTGTTCTCCAATCTTTGTACTTTCGGCATACGTGCCTAATCGCCCGGGGGGCATTGCAATTTTGAACTACTGCCAGACATTTTGGGGGTGTTACTAAATCAAAAGGTCACAAGTTTATGGGTTGGTTCGCAAGATTCAACAAGGAGATTATTAAACTCACTTTCAAGTGAACGTCTGCTATTTTGTCTAGAAATTATTCATGGAGTAATGTCACTTTTGTTTTAAACATATATACATGTATTTTGAATAGGTACATTCAAGAACAATTTTCGATATATTTGTGAAATTTTGAAGTCTTCTTCGTATGCAGATTTTTGTAAACATATTTTGAATAGATACATGCCAGGACAATTTTCGAAATATTATTTGTGAAATTTTAAAATCTTCTTGGTATGCATAGCCATTGCCTTGGCAGTCGATTTTGGTAGGTCAAAGAGATTAATATGCCCAAGCAATAATGGGTGTGGGTGGGGTTTTGAGAAATCTCTTTTGTAAATGTACATAGAATTTTATCCCACCCGTTATATGCTTTGCTAGAATTGTTTTTCATTTCGAATTATATAGTTATGGATAGTACTAATATAGATAAAATGGCATAAGGAAAAACGAAATAAATACCATGTATTGATAATGAAACTTTGTGTCCAGGGGTGGATATTACTAAATGTTAGGTGCTCTTAAAATAATGTTTTATGCTTACCATAACCAATGGTTCCTCTTTCTAGCATGTAGGTGCCATTTAGATTACTAAACCTTAAATTAATCTTCATGTATTCTTTACTATTGTGGAAGGTAAAACAAACAGATGTCTCTCTTCCTATCTGGATATCTTTAGGCATGGTAACCACATATCCACTGGAATAAAGGTATAAATGTTTAAAGTCTCCTCGAAACATAGAGGACGTTTTTATTTCAATAATGGAGTCACGGTGGCTAAGTGGGTAAGATGCTGGCTCGCTAGCCTGGAGGTCGGGTGTTCGATCCCTGCATTGGCCGAGAAAGTTAATCGGGATTTTTCCGACGTGGGTTCCTCATGTCAGTGGTGCAGAATGGAGGGCATGACAAGGAAAGCTGTCTAGTCGTTCGGATAGGACGAAAAACCGATGACCCGTGTATACATTGACGTGCACGTAAAAGATCCCTTGGTAGTTGGAATTCGATATAAGAGTAGGCTATAGTGCCGCTGCCTGGACAAAATTTCCCTCATAGCACACTGTATGGCGTATGCCCGTCTTCATTAGCCCAGTATAAGAACAGAACAGTAGGACGTTAAACCTCATTTCATTTCGTTTATATCAATAATTCGCTTGGGCGTATTGGTCTTTAGAAGTGGGGGTGGAGACTGGAGGACGCGGATAAACTTCAAAAGTTTGGGATGGCAACTCCTCTCTACACAAGCTTGGGAAGAAAGTCGCGCTACTGGACTCAATGACACATGTTGTAATCATCCCAACACTCAGCTAAAAATATGCCCTTTTAAAATGAATGAATATCGTTTATTGTCACAGATTTCAAATGCTGGGACTTCTCCGACTTGTGTAAAGTCCAATAGTAAATTTCCAGATACCTCTTACATTGTCCGTATGGTTCCACCGTTGTTGATTCGCCCCTTATTGATCCGGTAATGTAAGTATGTCCCATACAGAAATAATTTAAGTTTTTAAAATTCATTGCATGATACAGGGGGGTTGGATGGCTGAATGGTTAGCGTGCGCGCGCTGTATCATAAAGTCTGTCCTTGAGTCGACTGGCGTGGTTTCGAATCCCCGGTTGTACGTGGCAAGGAGTAGGGTCGCCTGTCCAACCTCGTGGGTTTTCTCCGGGTCCTCCGGTTTCCTCCCACTGCTAAAGACCCCTATGCGCAAGCGAATTATTGAAATAAAATTCAACCATATGTTAGTCCCGAAATGACCTAATTTGTGTCGAGTGGACGTTAAACCCCATTTCTCTCTCTCTTTGCATGATACAGTGCAAGCCTTATAATCTGACTTATGCAGAAATAAATTCACCGATTTATAGGACAAATTTAATCGGGTGCCGAGTTCACAAAGTATTCTCAGACTTAAGTTAAGAATTTACTCAAAATTGTTTGCCTTAATTTAACTAAAATTTAAAATATAATAGCCCTTTATAAAACGTTTGTTGTTTTAATGTATCAAATACATCAATAAGAATCTATGTACAATGTTTTGTGTTTCTTGATCAAAGATATTTCTCATAAACAGTGATTGAAATTTGAGTAAATTCTTAACTTAAATCTGACAATGCTTTGTGAACTCGGGGCCTCAGTTTTTACTAGAAGTAATTACTTAATTGTGTTCTTGCATAGCGCAGCTTGAAGGGTTGAAGGTCAACCTCACATGGAAACTGTATTTATTTTAAAATGTATAACAGGACTTCAAAATACTTGCGTTTGTCATGGATAAACGATTACAAGATTCTATCCGCCCTAATTAACCAGTTTTCTTAAGTTTGGTGTATATGGAACGGCTTCTTGTCTTGGCAGTCAAGATTCGCTTTTAGGTGCTGAATGTCCCGTAAGGGAATCACTATGATGTTGAGCACGTTTGTGTTATTACGACTAGCTCTAAATATTAAGGCCACCTGCAGAATTCTTCAAGGTCACGAAATATAAACAGGGCTTGCGTTAACCCCGACCCTAGCTCTAACCCACAAAATTGTCAACCATCACGTGCACTAACCCTATTTACAGCTCGCGACCTTAACGAAATCTGCAAGTGGCCTTAATATTTAGACCTGACCGTGTCATTATCTTATATTTGTCTTAAATATAGATATGGCATCCTATTATTAGTTTATCAGAAGAAGAAATGTTGCAATCTTTACCTGTTGGCGACGTTCATCAAGCACAGAAAAACAGGAACCAACAACAGCAACCTGAAGACGGTTCCAGACTCCATGTTCAGTACAACTATAGTCCCCCAGGAGCTTACTTTGTACCGTACATGAAGACAAACATGTCGGTCTGTAGCCCGGCAAACTCGTACCAGGGATAAATTAATTATCATCGTGCATCATCAGCAGCTTAAATTTTAATTACCGTAATTAATCTATTAATTGTCAATGTTGTAGATATTACATACGAAATGTCCCGTGCTGGAACCCAGTGTGGACGGTGTTGCCGCGGTAGTTCAGAGAGTAAGACGTAACCAGGATGGGCGGGGTTTGATCCCGGTGCCGGTTGTGAAGGTTCTCTTGGATTTCCCAACGTGGTTTCCCCCTGTCCAGCGTCTAGTCATTCGGGTGACACGAAAAACTGAGGTCCCGTGTACACGATGGCGTGTACGTAAAACACTGTTGAGCCGCTGTCTGGGTAAATATATTTCCCTCATAGCAAAATGTATGACGTATGCCCGCCTTCATCATCCCAGTCGTTCCAGAAAAGTAGGACGTTAAACCTCAGTTATTTCATATTGTAATTTTATTATAGTCGTGTTTGGCATTTTAATCAAATATTTATTTCCCGCCGTATAAGCATATATAATACACCTTATTTATTTCAGGAATTCAGAAATACAACTTTCTTCGAAACTCGGGGGTTAGGTGGCCGAATGGTTAGCGCGTGCGCGTTGTATCATTAGGTCTATCATTGAGTCAACTGGCGTGGTTTTGATTCCCCGGTTGTACGTGACAAGAAGTAGGGTCGCCTGTCCAACCTCGTGTTTCTCGGGTTTCCTCCCACTGCTAAAGACCCATAAGCGCAATCGAATTATTGATATAAAATTGAACCATATGTTAGTCCCGAAATGACCTAGTTTGTGTCGAGTGGACGTTAACCCCATCTCTCTCTCTCTCTCTCTCGCTCTCTCTTGGAAAATCCTCTGATGGCTATGTGCCGGCATTTCTGGAAAACGTAAACGTTAAATTAGCTAACACGTACTTTTGTATAATTTATTAGTTTTAAAGATTCGGGGTTTGTCATAGCCAATTCCTACTTGTCCGGAAAATATTCTCCTGCAATTTGACACCTGACCATATTAAAACGCTGGCATTAAAATGACCAGGCTGTTGCGCTGATGAGAGGATACCAGCCATTACCAACTACATGTACAATTTTGTTATAGGACTTACTGTATAAGTCGTGTCTAATCGTAAATTTATTAGATATAATCGGTAATTTTGGTGTGTAAAAGTACGCGGAAATGGCACTTGTACTACTGCGACATTAGCTGAAGATGCACCACATTGAGACAAGCCGATCACAAATTACTTGACCTTCAGATTTCTTATTAAGTGGGCGGATGAATTGAATTAGATGGTTCAACAATAGAAATAGTTATATGCTAAACAATAGACAGTACATGCTTACTTACTTACTTACAAATGTTTCTTGTACTTTTAGATAATATCATTAAACATTGCCACAGAATGGATATAAACTTTCAAATATTCTCAACTGAATTGTAGGGAACAGATTTGCCACTCAAGGTTCCACTGCTCAATTTAATCATAAAACATACAGACTTACGTTTATATCAAATTCCAACTGCCAAAGGATCTTTTACGGGGACCTAGGTTTTTTGTAGCACCCGAACGACTAGACAGCTGTCCTTGTCAGACCCTCCGTCCTGCACCACTGACATGGGAAACCTGCACCACTGACATGTGAAACCACGCCGATGGGCTTTCTCGGCCAACACCGGCTAGCGAGTCAGCTTCTTACTCACTTAGCCAGCGTGGCTCCTTATCAAAAAAAAAAAAAAAAAGAAAAGAAAAACACGACTAGTTTTAAACCATGCTTTGGTGCCAAAGGAGGCAAATATAGTGGGAAATGACGCAATAAAGTTCATTAGATATCTCTTCATTAGATGCCTCGAGATATATTTATTAAAAGTATTGTCGTTTCCCTTAAATTCAATGAAATATCCCGACAAAAGATGTATATTATAACACTATTAATCTACGTATAGCTAGGGTAGATTCAGACCTTTCTGGCACGTAACCTACGATTATCAGACATTAATCGCCATACCATTACTTTTATTTTTTACTCAGTGTCAGTTAACGTTATGGAATTCGTGGAACAAAATGAAACTCATAAATTTTGAGAAACTGGAAATTAACGACATGTACTAGACGCATACCAGGAAGATATTCTGCATAAAGTATTGGAACATACTCTTGATAGTGTGACTGCACTTACTAGTACACATCGGTACAAGAGAGAGGGAGAGAGAGAGGGAGAGGGCGGGCCCGTAGCCAGCTCGTAAAATTTGGTGGGGCTATGGAATTTTTTGGAGGGGCTGAGGATGTGGCCTCGCATCTGAGTGCATTCCTGGGCCTCAAATTGAAGTGCCTCAGGCAGGGTTTTATGGCTGAATTTTCCTTCCTCGACTCCTCCCGCAGATATCATCTTGAAGGTAGTAGAGAGTGTCGAGAGGGTCTGGAGGTGATGATGACATGCAGGCCTCGGTGGACCATGCTACGAGCCTACGAGTCGCCTACCAATTTGAACACTCCTAAAAAATCATTATTGTCGGCGAAATATTTAAGGGGGCTATTTCGAATTTAATTTTTTTTTTTTTTTTTTTGTGGGGGGGGGGCTTAGCCACCTTGTGGCTACGGCCCGACAGAGAGAGAGAGATAGAGAGAGGGAGAGAGGGGGGGGGTTAACGTCCACTCGACACAAACTAAGTCATTTCTAGACTAACATATGGTTCAATTTTATTTCAATAATTTGCTTGCGCATAGGGGTCTATAGCAGTGGGGAGAAATCGGAGGACCCGGAGAAAACCCACGAGTTTTGACAGACCACACTACTGCTTGTCACGTACAACCGGAGAATCGAAACTACGCCAGTTGACTCCATGACAGACCTAATGATACAGCGCACACGCGCTAATCATTCGTCCATCCAACCCCCCCACATGGGTACAAGATCTCGTCAAATTTGATACTAGTCAAGATATACAGTCTCTGTAAATAGTTCCATTGGAGGACTAAAAACATTCTCCAGGGACTCTTCCAAGTCCATTACACTCCAGAACAAATATAGTTGATTTCTGCGAATACCCGAAAGTTGGATATATACATTTTTATTATCAAAAAAGTGTCCATGGTTTATTAATTACGTTATTTAAATCGATTACTAATTGTCATTACTAAAAGGCCCATCTTCAATAGTCAACGGTATCAACTTACCATTGCTTTATAGTAACAAGCAATGAAAATGAACAATACGTCACCCAAAGATAAAATAACCAGAGAAGTTAGACAGCGGCTGTTGTCCTAGTAACTAGGAAGCCCGATCGTTGTCCTAATGATTTTCAGTCTTGTATTCCTTTGTCAGAGGTGGAGGACAGCAAGCCTGGCCAGAAGAAAAGTGTCTAGTTTTCCGGATTAAAGCAAAAAACTGAGGCCTACCCAAATAGGTGAAAAGCCGCTGTCCAGGGTAAAACTTTCCTCGTAGTATGACCCATGCTGTTCTCAATTGGTAGTTAGTGCAGCGCCACAGGACAATAAACCCCATATCATTTTGTTTCACAGAATAGGGTGACCTAATCCCTAATAGACTAAAGACCTTTTTATCGACTTGCCAAATCGATTTGAATTTAGTGGAGATGTCATGTGACAGTATAGTCGATTTTAAATTACTTTGGCGAGTTCGTTAAATGCTCCGATTATAGCTGTAAACAATTGTTGTGGCTGGACACAGTTGAAAAAACACGTGATCACCCGATCAAATCGCACCCTGAAGTGATTTGGCGATTTGATGTAATCGCTTCGGAAATCGGTGTCGATAAATTCGTTGATTAGGGTAACCAATTTGAATTAGATTGACGTTAAAGATGAAAATATGATTGAATGCAAATCACTTTGGCTAATCAGTGGTCGATAAAAACGCCTAAAATAAGCCGTTTCTCACATACATAAAGGGAGGTTACTACACTTCAATCAACACAGGATGCAGACCACCATTAATTTCCCCATTGACCTCAATCTTAATTCTGGTCTCTTTGCCCGGTTTCAATTTCTCACTAAATTTTCGTTGGGCTAATATTTTTCACTACGTCATGTCTTTGCACCAATATTTTGAGATGTACAACCCTGAAGTATCATACTAAAAACATGTAACTATTTGCTGTACATATCACTGTACATATAACCAACCTGTTAACTCTGTTATCCTTCCGCCTCTAAATCATATATATTTACCAAAACCTGGCAGAAAATGTTAATTCAAACCCTCTTCGTCCATGCTAGACCACAAATGGGCATGCAAAAGGGGAGAAGCAAGAGCGGGGGAATTGCTATACATAGAAGGACTATAATTTGTGGGTACTGTGGGGTGGAATTTAATGGTGGTCTGCCTCCATTATACGATCCAGGAACTTTACAAAACTCTTGTGTAATATATACTTTCTCTACATTCTTTTGTCTAGAAACTCCAGTACATCACATGCCCATCCTCATTAAAACACATATCCTATATTGTTTCATTTTTTATAGTTCAAAATTTCGTTTTACTACAATGGGATCTGGAAGAGTTGTTATATAACCCGCTTTCTGGATGATGGAGTGAGATGCACGGAACTGTGGGTAACCAACCCACTAGAAACATCAACGCTTATTGATTAACTAAATATTTGATGTCATAGGATCAAAAGTCAGGTGTATGACCCTTGAAGCGACCTCCCACTACAACCAGTCAGATCTTCATGTAGCGTAGGCCATCGAAAGTATAAAAAAAAACGAAATGGAATATAGATCTGTATTTTAATCAGATTGATCACATGACAACCAATAACATTGAATATTAATGTAAATATGTTACAATTATATTAATACTACATAATATCTGATATTTACATATTCACTGACCAGAAGATACAGTTATAATATACATTATATATATCATCAGTAATAACTAACAGTACATATATAATACAACATATTTTTACACATGGCTATCAGTAGCGGATTATCAGTGAGGCTGATGAGGCTGCAGCCTCAGGCCCAAAGATTTTGTAAAAAAATTTTTTTTAGACTTGTCTGATACGATTAAAAACGCATAGACAATGAATGTTAGGGGGGTTGGGTTTAGGCCCAACGGGAATCAACATAGGCCCTGACCCGAAATTAATTAGGCCCACGCCATTTTAAATAGACCCACGCCATTTTAAATAGGCCCTATTTAAAAACTTAGGTCCTCCAGCAACTGCCGCCTCAGGCCTTGGTGGAGCTTAATCCGCCACTGATGGCTATAATATCAAGGATAAACTTCCATTCATTCAGCACTTCTTTTTCTATTCAAAAGTTTATAGCCGCCAATCGTCATTGGAGAGAATTTGAAACCTTTGCAAACTATAATCATCTGAAAGTTGATCTCTAAAAGCAATATCGGTACAAAATGGTTCAATTCTGTTCAGCATCCAAAAATAAATGATGAATTGAAAATTTTGCTTCTTCTACAAACGATATTAGCAAAGCAGGCCAGCGACAGCACCTATAAGTGTTGGATAAATAAAGTCTTTTGAAAGGGATCTTTTAATCCCGGCATTGAAACTAAGATGGGAGATTATCCACTGCTGGTTTTGTTTTCTTCATTAAAGGAGCTAATCGCTAATATTTGGGACCTAGAAATGGACTGAAATGGGTCGCAGCGCACATAATAATGTAATATGAACGTATATAAACTGATTTACATTCAACCATTTCTGTTTTTACTATGATATCTAATCAGTTATGTTCGGCGAAATATGTGAAAAGTTCAAATTGAATGGCAATCTTTGGCGTCTAGATATTCCAGTCTACACCTGTAGTATTATCCTACATGGAATATGTGTAGCCTCGTTCATCGAGTCGCTTCATTATGTGCCAATTTTTAAATTTCCATTTTGTCTTAAATATTGGACATCAGATAACATGGTAAGATAACAACATCAATGTTGATTTAAATTGACCAATAAGTCCAGGGGTGGATCTAGGAATTTTTGCAGGTGGGGGTTTGCATGGTTCCTGTTGAGGAAATTTGACAGTTGATAATGCATGTTGCCATCATCATTTCCAAATTACGTAGGCATACTACACACAGATCTTTTTAAAGAGAAGCATCTAACACCCTGTTTGCCCTCAACGCCCCTTCTGGATCCGCCCCTGAAGTCGTGTTTGCAATGTCGAAGACTGTGGATGATATTGAGTTAAAGACTTTCCTCCTTTAAATTATCAGTTTGATTATTCTGAAGTGTGATATAAGCTGTAATAAATTAGATATTCTCTGAAGATTTCATATGACGTTCAGTGGCTTTAATGAAGTGAAAATGTATATTTAAAGTATATTTTATACAGCAAAATAATGATAGTTACAATGGTGACTCCTCTTAATCAAATTCCAAATTTGTGCACTGTATAGTACCAACGACTACATGGGTGCACCTTGTTTTTTGCTTTAATCCAAAAAACTAGACACTTTTCGTCCTGTCAGGCTTGCTGTCCTCCACCTCTGAAATGGGAATGCCAGACTGGAAAATCGCAAGGACAACATGGGATCGACAATGGGGCTTCCTAGTTACTAGGACAACAATGCCTGTCTAAGTATAAAAAAAATATGTCATATTTACAAAATTTAGAGTGTATTTACATAATGAATTAAATGAAAAAGACTTGGATTCCTGTGTTTGTGAATAAAGTACTACATTACAATATAATACATGTAACAGTCCATAAAACTATACTGAAAGTGGTTTATTTGTTTCCACGAACAATGAACATACCTATATTATACTGATTGATTTAAGAATATGCACTTACTGTCAAATGCATTAAAACTATGAAAAGTTTGAATTACATGTATATTGGAATGAAAAAAGCATTATGGGACAATCTGTTGTCAGGCGGGTTTGCGAGATTGTTTACCTTCTATTTAGAATTCTGATAATGTGACGTCTAACCCTAATAAAGAAGAACAGACATTACCAAAAGCTTGTTTTAAAAGGTATTCACATAGCTTGTCTATCATGACCACACCGATCAGCTATCCTTGTGTTCAGCAATAAACATTGCACACTAACATCTGATAGGTCAAACAAGTTTGAGAAATTCCAACATGCCCGAATGACCTGACAATAGACTATACCAAGCAGACAGTAGGGAGATCGAGAATAAAGGTTTAATATCCATTTAACACAACATTGTCACCTTGTACACAAACTTCTGTAAGATCTGGAAGAGTTACTTAACAGTGTCCAAATTGATTAACTTTACAGATTGATATTTTCAGACGACCAATTCTGGAAACAAGACAATTGTCACTGAATCGTCAGGCACAGATTCATTGTTTGTTAGGCACGAATCGAATGGTGCCGATCAAGATTTTTCTGGCACTGACATGTCTTTTTCTGTGTTTTATTGACATAGTGCTGACACGATATATAGTAGAATAGATGTATCGAGATTCACCTTCTCACGATTCGTGTATTAAATTGTGAGATGCTGAATCAATGTATCGTGAGATGCTGAATCAATGTATCGTGAGATGCTGAATCAATGTATCGTGATTCATTTTTTTATGTTTTTTGGTCACTTCAGTAAGTATCGTGTCTCTCTGAAGTATTCATGTCACACATTATTCATAGGTACACAGACACCCGTAAATTGTTTTGGTTCTTATTTTGATCCACATCAATATCGTGTTATTTCTTCCACATCGACAGGACTAAAAAATATCAATTATTCATTTATCCTGTTGTAAATATTGACCTGGTTATGAATCGTAAAACGAATCGTATCATAGTACCTGAATCGCAATACCCAGCACTACAATGAGTTCAAACTGGTAGGTACTAGTTGAGAGTATCTGATATTTTGTCCATTAAAACTAAAATCGTTATTTCCATGTCTGTCAGTATCCATCATATTGTTGAGGTTTAATATATGTTGTATTGTCCACCACAACTCGAGATAGAACGGCACCAAAATAATGTATTAAGTAATTTGATCCATCCGCTGGTCCCAACATCTGAAATACATAATAAAAAAGATTTTTATCAACAGGAAGGGAAAGAAATGGGGTTAATTGTCTATACCACAAAAACAAATTCATCTGGGGCCTAATGAAATGAAATGGGACTCAAAGTTCGACTGGGGTAATGAAGACGGGCATATAGTGTGCTATGGGGAAATTTTGCCTGGGCAGCAGCACTATGGCCTACTCTTATATCGAATTCCAACTGCCAAGGGATCTTTTACTTGCACGCCACTGTATACACGGGACCTCAGTTTTTTGTCCCATCCAGAGAAAACCCACTAAGTAGTTGGGCAGCTGACCCTTCTCCTTGTCATGCTTGGGATTAAAACCACGCCACTTGACTTGATGATAGACCTTATGATCTAAAGCACACACATTAGACCATTTGACCACTCAACTCCCTTTTATCATCAGAATAGGGTTTAATGTTTTGTTAATTAACAGGCTCTAAACCATACTTCTACATATTACTGTTTGTCCGACCTTTATCCCCATTTTTGTCCTCATGGCCTTGAGCAATATAAATAACCCAGTTAGAATGGTTTACACTTCAAAATGTCTGTCTTCATTAGCCTGATTGGTGCAGAACAGTAGGATGTTAATTCCATTTCATTTTGTCAGCTTATCAAAAGTGAAATGAAATGAAATGGGGTTTAATGTCCTACTGTTCTGCTCCGACTGGACTAATGAAGATGGGCATACGCCACACAGCGTGCTACGAGGGAAATTTTGCTCGGTACCTCGGTTTTCTGTCCCATCCGAATAACTAGAGAGCAGTTCTTGTCAGACTCTCCGTCTTGCACCACTGACAAGAGGAAACCATGTCGGAAAATCCTAACAAACTTTCTTGGCCAATGCAGGGGCCCAACACGCGACCTCCGGGTTAGCGAGCCAGCGTCTTACCCACTTAGCCACCGTTTTTTACATAACTCAACTGTATTGAATGTGTTTCATGTTAAATTCTGTGAAATCTGGTTGGGAAATTGTGAAGAACTTTCTTATTCAACACCGTTAGAGTGAACCCAGGACTTCCTGTTTAGTGAGACATCGCATACTCACAGAACCACCAGGGTCTCCATGACTACAGAAATGAACGAATCTATAAGATATAATTTATACATGTGTTTACCTGTGTTGCTATTAATAGAATATCCACCAATTGTCCTAAAAACATAAAACCTAATGTACCAAACTTGACCAAACCTGAAATAAAGACAGAATTATTCTCACTCTAGTTTTTATACTACAGATCTGAAATAAAATGGGGTTTAACAACCTACTTTTCTGCACTAACTGGGCTAATAAAGATGGGCATATATCATACAGTGATCTATGAGGGTAACTTGGCTCAGACATTGGCAATATAGCCTACTCTTATTTCGAATTCCAACTGTCAAGGGTTTCTTTACATGTACATGCCAATGTGTACACTGCACCACTGACATGGGGAAAACCAGACAGGAACACGTCCTGGATTAAAACTACACTACTTCTATACAGTCTTGTCAAGTTCGTTGCTTGTGGAATATAACCTTTACTTTCTATTATCTTTCTGTTAATTACAGAAAACAGTCACGACAAAATGGCAAAACCCCAATTAACTAATCTGCTCTGTCCAAAATCACTGCTCCCTCAAGCACCTAAAACTGAACAAGCGGCATGCATATTTGTCTCAGGTGGTTTGAGTTGAGGTAGTCTAGTGAGTTTTAAAAACATAACTTTTCTCTATTATTTTTTCACAAAACTGGAGTGTCCATATTTACATATACCATGGGCTAATAAACAGTGAGGACTCGAGTCAAATACCATATCCACAGAACTACCATTTTGGTTTGTTTTATTACTTACCTATTGCTGGGTATCCTAGATAAAACCGATCTATTCCAAACATCCCTAAAAATACTGATAAAAGTAGAGCTGTTTCAAATGAGGCACCATTTCTGTAATATAAAGTAGAAATATTTTGTACAGGTATCAACACACGTTATATCAATTACTGGAATTTCTATTATATTAATGGGGTTTAATGTCCTTGTGTTCTGCTTCGACTGGTCTAATGAAGACAGGCATACACCATACACTGTGCTATTATTTGCAAACACATATTGAAATAGAATTGAATCATATGTTAGTCCCAAAATGACCTAGTTTGTGTCAAATGGACATTAAAACCCATTTCTCTCCCTCTCTCTCTCAGTCATGGAGTTAACATGGATACTAAAAGAAAAAATATACTTACACCCATTTACAAGGTACATTTTTGTAGAAACCAATAGTAATTCCATCATGAATTTGACCACTGCAGATAATTTTGGGGGCTGGTCTACAAGCCACTGCAATGAATAGTTTAAGGAGTATTAGACATTTGGATACATAGTATATACAAAAAAACCCAACACAATCTACTATCTGATTGTTAACTTGTAGATTATAATTTAAGGATGTATGCCCAGATAAATATTACAATGAAATCAAAGACTGTGACAAAAGTACAGCAGATCGGTGGAAGAATCTCTTTACAGTGCAGGCAAGATCAGACACAGAGTTCACAAAGCATTGTCAGACTTAATTTCAGAATTTACTCAACTTGCTAGTCTGGAGGTCAAGTGTTAGATCTCTGCATTGGCCGAGAAAGTTCATCGGGATTTTCTGACATGCTTTTCCCTTGTCAGTGGTGCAGGACAGAGGGCCTGACAAGGACAGCTGTCTAGTCGTTTGATTGGGATGAAAAACCGGGGTCCCATGTATACATTGGAATGCAGGTAAAAGATCTCTTGGCAGTTGGAATTTGATAAACATGTAAGAATAGGCCATAGTGCCACTGCTCGGACAAAATTTCCCTCATAGCTCACTGTATGGCATATGTCCATCTTCATTAACCCAGTCGGAGCAGACCAGTAGGACGTTAAAACCCATTTCATTTTAATTGTACCCAAAATGTGTCTTGGATTAAAACTTTAATAAAGTCTTATTCATTGCTTGGGGAATATTACCTACATGTATGCTTTATTATGTGCGAGACATTGCCATTGCTAGCAAGCTTCAATGGTAAATCATAATTAGAAAATCTCTTCACAGTCTTTTATATTTTGAATACTTAACAAAATCTTGGATATACAATGAACTTCTAAGCCTGTCTAACAATATTAAATGAAATGGGGTTTATCGTCCCACTGTTCTGCTCCGACTGGGCTAATAAAGATGGGCATACGCCATAGAGTGTGCTATGAGGGAAGTGTATACAATGATCTTCTAAGCCTGTCTAACAATATGAAATGAAATGGGGTTTATTGTCCTACTGTTTTGCTCCGACTGGGCTAATGAAGACAGGCATACGCCATACAGTGTGCTATGAGGGAAACATGTACACAGTATCTTGGTTTTTGGTCCCTTTCAAACGACTATACCTTGTCTCTTGCCAGGCCATCTGTCCTGTACCACTGTCACTGACAAGGGGGAACCATGCTGGAAAATCCTGATGAACTTTCTCGGCCAATGCAGGGACCGAAGATGGGACCTCCAGGTTAGCGAGCCAATGTCTTACCCCCTCTAACAATGTTTTTCTAATGAAAATAAAATAAAATATCTGTAAAATAAAGTGCTTTTGTTGAATTTACCTTGAACAGTTCTAGTTTCCTGACTACAATTTCTGGCTTGTTGAGTTTCAGTATCTATTACAGGATCGTCACAAATATATCTGATTTTGTTGAAGGCAGAATAAAGACAGATCATTCACATATGTATTTCAAAAGTTAGAAATATGTACTACTTAATTAACATAACGTATACATCTATGTAACTAACCAACAATTTACTTGTGAGGTCTGCATGTATTAATAACCCTGACAAGACAAGTGGAAAGTGGGTTTGAAAAATCTTGAGATTTTCTCCAATAAATATGGCCCTGAGTTCACAAAGAATTTACTCAACTTTCAATCATTGTTTATGAAAAATATCTTTGATCCAGAAACACAAAACTTTGCACATATATTTTTATTGATGTATTTGATATATTAAAACAACAAACAATTTATAATGTGCTATATATTAGTTAAAATAAGCCATACAATTTTGAGTAAATTCTTACTGAAATTTAAGAATGCTTTGTGAACTCTGGGGCTGAGTTTCAAACCCAGGAAATTTTTCCAGTTAAAGATACATAATGGGAAATTCGATAACGAGTTGGCAGTTCTCACTATAATAGTTAAAAACTAGATAATATAAAGGTAATTTGCTGAAAATTTCATTCAAATTGATCCACTATGAACCGAGAACTAAGCGATTGAAATTTCTGCCTAGCCTCGATCATCATTACTAAAGTCAGTACGAAAAACAACATAGTCTCGATTATCCATTTAATCATTAAATCGTGCAGGAAAGTTATGCAGTAAATCAGCTCATAATCCACTTAAGATCGCAGGCTAATGATGCCATCTAGAGTTGATTATGGTCTGGATAGGTTAATTAATGTCTAATTAATAATTTAGATAACATTTCAGGCCTAAAGAAAGACCTGCAATAGACAGATTTAGCTCTTGCATAATGTATGGTTAAGAGTCCAGGTCTCTAACTGTTCTACACAGAGAAGGGCGTAAATGATTGTTATTAAAATCCCATACTTTAATTATCCAGAAACTATTTTATCCTTTAGCTTATAGACAATTCAGGGGGTTGTGGTGAGCACGATGAAAATAACCTGCTTCAGACCATGGCTGATTCAGACCAAAAGTAAAAGCTTATTCGGACCACATTCATGGGTAATTCGGACCACCATCAGGCTGATAATACCTACTAGAAACTGAGATTTACACATTTAAAGATACATTATGGGAGATTAGATAAAGAGCTGGTAGTTCTGATTATAATAGTTCAATACTAGATGATATAAAGGGAATTTGCTGAAAATTTCAATCAAATTGATCCACCCTGAACCAAGTATTTAGCGATTGAATTTTCGGCCTACATGTAGTCTCGATCATCATTACTAAAGTCGGTGTGATAAAAAACATAGTCATGATTATCCATTTTTTGATTTAATCAGAAGCAGCAGACCAGGTTCTAATTAATCCAATAAATATTACAGGCTAGCGATGCCATCGAGAGTTGATTATGGTCTGGATAAGTTAATTAATGTCTAATTAATAATTTAGATAACATTTCAGGCTTAACGAAAGACCTGCAACTGGCAGATTTAGCTCTTGCATAGTGTATGTTTAACAAAGTGTAAAAGGGTTTTATCTAGACTATATCATGACCATCTGTGCTTTTAGTTACCGGTATGTCGATTTATGTTAATTTCAATAAGACATACACATTTTAAAGGAGCTAAGTCTCTAACTCAATATTTTCTCTAATATTTGAAATCAAAAACACGAATTGATGTTGTTATCTTGCCGTTAAACTATAGGATCCTAATATCCAATATTTAAGACACAATTAACATTTTATAATCAGTACACGAGTTGTGTACCCTACGGTTTCGGACTTTTGGGTGCCATTTTATAATGAACAAACAAAAACATATCATACAAGTGACACAACATGATGTGGAAGGAATTAGTAAAGGCGGATTCACAAACGACAAACTAATAATTTAAAAAACATGTTGAAATCACTAAGCAGGTGTAAACGACTACCGTTCAATTTGAAATGTTCGCATATTTTATCGAACATAATTGATTAGAAATTACAATTTTTTTTCCCAAAATTGAATATAAATCACATTACATAAATTCATATTATATTAATATGTGCTTTTAGAACCATTTTTGTCTATTTCAAGATTAAAAAAAATAGAGCCATGTACGCCCTTTAAAATCAATACCAGTAACCCAGGAGCATATTATGGAAAATTATAACTATGTTATTGCGATTAAATTTTTCGCTACAATTGATCAAATCTCTGAATAGGAAAATGGCTTGGAATTCAAAATACTGGAGGAAGGAAAGACAGTAACAATGCTGTTCGACTCAACCGCACAAAACAAGAATTTAAATCGCAGACAAAGTTCCTTGGCATGACCATCGACTCACACCTACATGTGTATGGATATGGAAGCCACACATCAACGGCATCGTCAACCGTTCATTCAGATGGTCCGAATGAGTCGTATTGTGGTCCGAATGAGCCAAGAATCTGGTCTGAATGAGCCAAGAATCTGGTCCCAATGCGTCATGGTCCGAATGAGCCTTTATGTTTGGCGCAATGTCATATTTAACTCCATTTCATTTCGTTTCCGAATGAGCCAGTTACAGCACGTTTAGGGAATTGTAGGCCCAGGTTTATCCACTGATAGAATATCCATGATTTGAGCCCTGGGCAGTTTTCTGTCAGGAAAACACTTTATATTTTAGCAAGACTAGAAACCGTGGGAAAACATGTCAGTATCTGACTGGAAATTGAAAGTAGGAAAACATATTTCCTCTGACAAAAAGGATACTGTCCCATGAGAAGATCTTTACAGTCAATTTCTGGTTCATCAACCGAGTCTGTTAACTTTACCAATACCAGAACAATTAGTATAAAACCTTGTGTGTTCAAAAATTTCGCCATCTTTAATTATGTTGTTGAAAATTAAGTAATATAATGTCTTCTCTTCATCTTTGTTTACCGTCTTCCTGAGCCAAACCACACCTACCGGATATGATAACCATTTGACAAACTAGTTCTAAGGTTAACGAACTTTTAATTTCTTTGCCAAAATTGTTGTAAACAGTAGATCTATAAATCTTTCTATAACAACCACATCATTCAAAATGCTGTTAATTAACATTTTTCAATAAATGGGAAAAAATTATTATTTGTTTTTAGAAAATTAACGGCGTATGGATACCAAAATTATTTTTGGTAACACCTCATTTCCTTTAGCAGACATGTGCATCCGGTTGATGTAATGAAATTTTATGAACTGTTTATAAATAAGACTCAGAACTATTAAAATGATGATATAAATGGCAAAAAGACAACTGCAATTGACACTGGCAATATTGAAGCCAGATGTCACTTCACGGCCACATATCGTTCAGGTAAACTAACTAATTCAAAGAGATGGCATACTCTGATATTGGTGTATGCCCTACTTTCATTTTTACATACATTAACACAGGGCAATGCCTGAAATGTTTTACTTTTTTATTTTGATTTAAACTAATAATTGCGAGGTGAATAGTTACTGTTATGATTGGATGTTTAGTAAAAAACAAGGGCTTGGAATTTTGTTAATTAGTTTTAAATATTTGATTGAAAAATAATGATAATGGATGAATCTATTTTTCGGGAGTTAATAAGATGATCTTGAAAAATAATTTCTATTTTATTAGATCACTAATGAAAGTGGATGAATCTATTTTTCAGGATATAAGAAAGATGATCTTGGAGAATAATTTCTATTTTATTAGATCACAAAATCTTCAAATGTCACAACATCAGATAAAAACATTCTATAAAGAACATGAAGGCAAGGTTATAATTTACTTTTATAAGTAGGGCCTAACCGTTCAAATACAAGTGATCACCCGAAACATTATGAAGGATAAACCACCTCTCAGCTGTACTTAAAGTCTGTCTGTACTCTGTACTACTACTGTTGAGTGGGATTTTTATATTTCTATTGTTGTCATACAATACAAGATATTCAAACATGCTTCAGCTGAAATATTATAACATAATAAACATCAGACTTGACTTAAAGGACAATAGTGGTGTCAGCCATTATGACATAGGTGATAGAACTGGTTAAACACATTCCAAATATAATTTTAACACAGAGATCATTGCTACAATAGATGCGTAACAAAGATTTCAAGAAAGGGAAGTGACGAATGCAAAAGGAAAACACGAGGTATCCTTCTACATAACTAACTGAAGTGACGAGTGATAACAGATACATGGGCGAATTTCTGCTCACTAATAATTCCTTCGAAGACCAATATGCTTGTGGACGCCGGATCACTGGATGAATAGGGGTGACAATAAAATACGACCACATTTCAATGTGGGCGTATAAAAATGAAACGAAATATAGATCTGTATTTTAATCAGATTGGATGAAAATATCATTTATAGAGGAGGAATCACGTGGCTAAGTGGTTAAGACGCTGGCTCACTAGCCTGGAGGTCGGGTGTTCGATCCCTGCAGGACGAAGGGCCTGACAAGGACAGCTGTCTAGTCGTTCGGATGGGACGAAAAACCGAGGTCCCATGTACACATTGGCGTGCACATAAAAGATCCCTTGGCAGTTGGAATTCGATATAAGAGTAGGCCGTAGCGCCGCTGCCCGGACAAAATCTCCCCCATAGCACACTGTATGGCGTATGCCCGTCTTCATTAGCCCAGTTTAGAAGCAGAACAGTAGGACTTTAAACCCCATTTCATTTCATTTTATTTCCATTTATATAGGTTTTTAAAATATAAAATGATATTTTTGTTTTATTTTATTTTCTTGCAGGAAAGTTTTTCCACAATCGTCTTGTCAACTTTATGTCAAGGTGAGTAGTAAAATAGCGTTTTAACATCCACATTGTAGGTTCAGTCAGAACTATATTGATTACACAGTGCGAGAAAACCAGAGGTCTTTGAAGTTAGGAAGGCAACTCTAGCTCATTCAGATGCATCTACCTGGATCAGCACCACACCATTTGACACTGTTACAGACCATATACCTTGTGGAATATAAATACAAAATGAACAGCATTATCTGTGTTACCTTCAGGAATTAAAGTAGAAACATTACCTGAGTTACCTTCGGGAATAAAAATACCAGTTTGATTTCAGGCCCATAGCTAGCGGGGGGCAAGAGGAACAGCTACCTCGCCTGGAAAAAATCTGCACACCCAATGGTGCCTTTGCCCATTGGGAAAAGAATCGGTTCCCCCAATGGGCGCCTTTGGCTCCTTTTCCAATGGATGCAATACGAAGCCAACAATCAACGTGTCCCTCTTGCCCCCCCATAATCCCCCCCGCTAGCTGCGGGCCTGGATTTTAAATATTGATGGACTGATGATGTAGACAAAAGATCCCATTTAGAATGAGAGCCATCATATGAGTTCTTCCAATTGCAGAACCCGGATCTTGAGAGAACGTAGTTAATTGTGGTCTAATTATAATGTCCGCGGCCCCTGACAGTGGCACTGATGCCTACTCTTATTTGATCTTTATCATGCTGCCAATGTATATATACACAGGAACTATTTTTTTCAGAGTATTTAAACATGCATTATGCAAGAGCTAAATCTGCCTATTGCAGGTCTTTTTTTAGGCCTGAAATGTTTTCTAAATTATTAATTAGACATTAATTAACTTATCCAGACCATAATCAACTCTCGATGTAATCGCTAGCCTGTGATATTTACTGGATTAGGATCCAATTTGCTGCTCAACTTTCATTCATGATTAAATCATGAAATGGATAATCAAGACTATGTTTTTTTATCGTACCGACTTTAGTAATGATAATCGAGGCGAGGCCGAAAATTCAATTACTAAATTCTCGGTTCAGAGTGGATCAATTTAACTGAAATTTTCAGCAAATTCCCTTTACATTATCTAGTTTTTAACTATTATAGTGAGAACTGCCAGCTCTTTATCTAATCTCCCATAATGTATCTTTAATGAAATAAAACCGCATCGCTTAAAATTTCAGTGGAAGAATATGGACTCATCTACTTGCTAAAGAGAATGCTATAAAGGACTGGAGAAATTTAATGGGACCAACCAAAGTTTTTAAGTAGGTGTTGATCTTGCTATATTATTGAGTAGAAGAGAGAAAGAAATGGGTTTAACGTCCACTCGACACAAACTAGGTTATTTCGGGACTAACATATGTTTCAGTTCTATTTCAATAATTCGCTCATGCGTTGGGGTCTTTAGCAGTGGGAGAAAACCAGAGAACCCGGAGAGAAAACCCACGGGGTTGGACAGGCAACCCTACTCGGGAGTGTCGAAACCACACCAGTAGACTTAATGTCATATCTTTATGATACGGCGCAACCATTAACCATTCGGCCATCCAACCCCCCATTACTGGGTAGAATATCCCAACCTCTCAATGATGTACCTCAAATTTTAAATTGTATTTCTAAAACATCCATATATTAAATGGATATGCACAAGGTGGATCCTGGGATCTAGCTAGCCAGGTTTTAAAATTATGAGGTCTGTGTACAGAAAAAAGATGTCATGACATGTACCAAATAATTTTAAATTCATTATACATATTATTTTGTTTTTAAAATCAAAGCACAAGGGGTTTGGTCAGATAAAGTAATGACTCCAGAAATTACTTCCAAAGATATGTGATAAAGAAAAGCAAAAAAGAAAAAAAGAATGAGATTTGAGCAAGTGAACTAAAAAAATTTAAAAATGTTGAAAAGACACCATGTTTTAGGTTATAATTTTTGCAGTTTTTTGTTTGAAATCAGTACAAAAAAATGCAGAATATAGCAATAATATAACTATTATAATATGATAGTTATTTCCCTTTATTTATTGTAGAACTGTACATGATGAACCAGACTCTATTCGAGGTAGATTTGGACTGACAGATACCAGGAACTGTACTCATGGTTCAGGTTTGCAAAATTCTAGATTTTTGAAAATGGGAAGCATAATATACTTGATTTTTTTTTAATGAACTACAATTTTACAATATTAGTTATCTTTATATAGAGAGAATACAATCAAAACTGGGTTGTCTTTAATTCAAAATTCTAGATTTTTGAAAATAGAAAGCATAATATACTTGATCTTTTTTAATGAACTATAATTTTACAAATTAGATATCTTTATATGGAGATAATAAAATCAAAATCAAAAACTGTGTTTTCTTTAATTCAAAATTCTAGATTTTTAAAAATGGGAAGCATAATATACTTGATCTTTTTTAATGAACTACAATTTTACAAATTAGATATCTTTATATAGAGAGAATGCACTCAAAAACTGGGTTTTTTTTAATTCAGCATCTTTAGTGCAAATGTTAGGGTATGTCTCCTGGCAAGGAAAAATGTCTAGCCATTCGGATGTAACAAAAAACCCTGTGTATACTGTTGTCAGCATGTTAATGTTCTCCAGGAAGTTTGAAATTGAAATAATCATAGGCTGTAGCGTGGCTGTCCAGGCGAAATTTCCCTCATAGCACACTGTATGGTAAATGTCCATTTCACTGGCTCGGTAGATGCAGAAAAGCATGAAGTTGAACCCCTTTTCATTGACTGCAAGTCAAAAATCTCTTGACAGATGGAAAATCAAAATAATAATAAGCTTTAGAACTTCTCTTGAGAACAAAATTTCTCTGATAGCATACTACATGACTTATGATCTTCATTGGCCCGATTAATGCCAAAATACAGAAAGTTAAATTCCATTTGGTTTCATTTCGTTTGGATACGACTTCCAAGGTATAAACTTAAAGATACATTATGGGAGATTAGATAAAGAGCTGGCAGTTCTCACTTTAATACTTAAAAACTAGATAATGTAAAGGGAATTTGCTGAAAATTTCAGTCAAATTGATCCACTCTGCACCAAGATTTTAGCGATTGAATTTTCGACCTAGACTCCATCATCATTACTAAAGTTGGTATGATAAAAAAACATAGTCTTGATTATCCATTTCATGATTAAATTGGATCCTAATCTAATAAATATCGCAGGCTAGCTATGGCATCGAGAGTTGATTATGGTCTGGATAAGTTAATTAATGTCTAATTAATTATTTAGATAACATTTCAGTCCTAAAGAAAGACCTGATAGGCATATTTAGCACTTGCATAATGTATGTTAAACTTTCATATTTCCAGATTCAGAAGAAACAGCTAGAAGGGAAATAAAGTTATTTTTTCCTGATTTTAATGAAGAGAGCTGGAGACAGTTAGATGAACAGTTTTATATATCAAACAATGTGAACTTTAATGAAGAACTGTGTTTACATTTACCTAATAAAAATAGCTGATGATATATTTATTTTAATAGTATTATAATAATAATAATAAAATTTATATTTCGCAACAATTCATCCCACTTGGGGATGCTCTAGGCGCATGAAAGTGTTCACATGGGTTAATTATAGTGCCTAAACAACCAGGTTTTCACACTTGATTTTCGAATGGAAGGTGGTAGCGAATTCCATAAAATTGATGCATTATACTGAAAAGTCTTTGAACCAAATTTCTTCATCCTATAAACCGGTACATCTAACAATAATTTATTCTCGGATGTCAGTGACCTTTTTGGTTGGTAGTGTGTCAAGAGATTCTGAAGATATCTTAGTGCTGTTTTAGGTAATGTTTTGTATGTCAGAGTTAACATTTTTAAAGTTAATTCTCTCCGGCACTTGGAGCCAGTGAAGATGATATAATCTTTTATCACTTGGTAATTTTTGAATACCACACAGTTCCTGAAAAAATCAGACAAAAGTGATCTTTTTTACATTGAGTTTTCTAGTTCAATTTCAAGGCAGGTCAAATCTACCGCCTCAAAACTCCAGATTTGTGGGACTAGTATATACCACTGTGCACGATCCTGAATTAAAAACCAGATGTGACGTCATCCTTTGATGTTGGGGTACCATTATTTCCAATAATGTACGGGCAACTTGCCAATCGTAGATTATCTATACTAGATGAAATATTGGACTAGCGTGACGTATTTCATTAAAAAGCACGTGCGGGATAGTGTCTGTATTTTAAGTTGTTTAATGGTCTCGAGCTAAAGACATTGCGTAATATATTGAAACAACATTATGCAAGAGGTAAATCTTCCTATTGCAGGTCTTTCTTCAGACCCGAAATGTTATATAAACTAGTAATTAGACATTAATTAACTCTCGATTACATCGCTAGCCTGCGATGTTTATTGGATTAGGTTCCGATTTGCTGTTCGACTTCCATTCATAATTAAATCATGAAATGGATAATCGAGACTATGTTTTTTTTTTATCCTACCGATTAGTAATGATGATCGTGGCTAGTTCGAAAATTCAATCGCTAAAATCTCGGTTCATAGTGGATCAATTTGACTGAAATTTCAGCAAATTCCCTTTACATTATCTAGTTTTTATCTATTATAGTGAGAACTGCCAGCTCTTTATCTAATCTCCCATAATGTATCTTTAATGGTCGAGTGCGAGACATTAAGTAATATATTGATATTGCACGAGACCACTAAACAACTTAAAATACAGACACCATCCAGTACCTGCAAATTAATGAAATACGTCACACAAGTCCAATATTGTAATAAGTATAATTAAAATACAGATGTGATGTCGGCGTGCCATTATTTCAAATAATCGTACGGGCAATTTGCCAATCGTACATTATTTATACTAGTGAAATATTGGATTCGCTGTAAAAGCACCTTCGGAGTGTCTGTATTCTAAGTCGTTTAATGGTCTCGAGCAATTAATCGTACGGGCAATTTGCCAATCGTACATTATTTATACTAGTGAAATATTGGATTCGCTGTAAAAGCACCTTCGGAGTGTCTGTATTCTAAGTCGTTTAATGGTCTCGAGCAATTAATCGTACGGGCAATTTGCCAATCGTACATTATTTATACTAGTGAAATATTGGATTCGCTGTAAAAGCACCTTCGGAGTGTCTGTATTCTAAGTCGTTTAATGGTCTCGAGCTTAAGAAATTGCGTAATATATTGTAAAAACACTCGGGCCTACGGCCCTCTTGTTGTTACAATTTATTTCTTAATGTCTCGCTCTCGACCATTAAACAATACATAATGTACCCTTGGCACATTGCCTGTAACATTATTTGAAATAATGGTAGGCCAACATCAAAGGATGACGTCACATGTGTATTGTAAATTGAAACAATACTCAGGTTAACATCCTTGTTTAGCATCAATATATTGATTAATATCTCGCTCTCGACCATTAAACAATTGATAAGATCAGAATCAGTAATTCATATTATGTTCCCTGTGAAGAATTAAATATGGCATAAACCAAGTGTTTAAATGTGACCCGTGGAACAAATGTCAACAAATTGATGTGTCAATAATATGGGGATTATGTGTCGATAATTCTTAGAAACTAGCGGTGGAAATCATTTATAATTGTTTTCCGGTTTCAGTAAGACTCTGACATCTGTACTGTATGTCATAGATATCTAAGTTGGCTAATTTGATCCATTTCAATGTACTGAATTACATTATAATAAGTAGCGATTTTAGTCAAATAAATCAATAAAATAGTTTTTGTGTATCTCCTGCCCACTTGATTTAAACTTTTAGTTCATTTGGCCCCTGAATGGAAGTGAATTTGACATCCTTGGCCTAAACAAACATTAAGTTTCAAGACACTTGTGGCAATTTTAAATTCCATGTATAATTATGTGGTGCTACTACCAGGGATTGAATTTCATCTAACCAGGGGTGGATCCAGGACTTTTTGCAAGAGGGGGGGGGGGGATGCCAGATTCTTGTCAGTTGACAATGCATGATGCCACCATCGTCTCTAAATTACGTAGGCATACATACACTCTGAGCTTTATAAAGAGAAACATCCAATACCTCCTTTGACGTCAATTTTTAAAACGGATTAATAAGATCACATTGTGATATCACACATATGAGGCTTCCCCAGGGTCCTCCGGTTTCCTCCCACTGCTAAAGATCCCTACGTGCAAGCGAATGATTGAAATAAAAATTGAACCATGAGTTAGTCCCGAAATGACCTAGTTTGTGTCGAGTGGACGTTAAACACCATTTCTCGCTCTCTCGCTACACCATTACAATCCTATATCAAAACGGACATTAAATGGTGCTTTTAAGGGTATATCCTGAGTACCAACATCCAGAGACCGTTTTTCTTCCCAATTCATCAAAAAATGACTTAAATTCAAGACTGCAAATAAAGGGCCCCAAATATGCGAGGTCATTAAATGTCTAATTAATAATTCAGATAACATTTCAGGCCTAAAGAAAGACATGCAAAGGACAGATTAGCTCTTGCACATGTTTAAATGGATTCAGATGATCATATACATTTGTGCTAATCAAAGCTAAAACAGTCACGATTGATTAAATTTGATGTTATTTAAAGTATTGTCTGCAGGGGAAGATATTGGTAGTTTTCAAACAATAATAGGCGATCCCGTGTACGATGTTTATTGACAGTAAAGATCAAAAACGCAAACGAATTGATGTATAAAATATGCCATCCACGCGTCAACAGCTCATCTTTTTTATTTCTTTTCTCTTCTAACGGCTTTTTGCACCCATATGCACTAAGCCAAAAAAGAAACCTCCCAAAAACCCAAGAAAATTATATAATACTCAGGTAAATGAATTTTACATAGACTAAACCCGTTCTCCAACTCCATTCATATATCCTGAATAAAAATATTGTTTAAAGAGAGAGAGAGAGAAATGGGGTTTAACGTCCACTCGACACAAACTAGGTCATTTCGGGACTAACATACGGTTTAATTTTATTTCAATAATTCGCTTGCGCGTAGGATTCTTAAGCAGTGGGAGGAAACCGGAGGACCCGGAGAAAACCCACAAGGTTGGACAGGCGACCCTACTCCTTGTCACGTACAACCGGGGATTCGAAACCACGCCAGTCGACTCAATGACAGAATTTATGATACAGAGCGCGCACGCTTACCATTCAGCCATCCAACCCCCCATATTGTTTAAAACACAAAAGCCATAATATACTATTCAAAAAAAGTAGGGGATATTTGATTTTGGGGGCATAATACTAAAATATGCAAATGACTACGAAAAAAGTCACTATAGAACCTAACAGAAGAAACATTTCCAGTTACATGTGACGCCCAAACGCACCAATAGCTACCGCATGGAATGCAGGTGATGCTTGGGATCATCATGGGGGTCCAACCCAAGATTTGCACGACTCTGACTTTGAATGTTACAGTCATTGTGGCATTGAATTCCAGGGTGGAAACATCAGTTTAATTGTTTTAGTGACCAGAAAACAAATTTTGATATGCGTCGGCTTACCCAAAATGAAAGGTTACGTGCCCTTGGCATGCTACAGATCGGCACAACACAGGCGGTTGTGGCGCGGACGATGAATGTTTCTCAGTCTGTCATAAGCAGGCTATGGTCCAGATACCGTGATACACAATCTGTACAGGACAGACCACGCTCAGGTCGACCAAGGGCGACAACTCAAGCCCAGGATCGATTTATCCGTACCTTGGCCTTGAGAAATCGTGTCATCACAGCAAATCAGATCAGCGCTCGTCTTCAAACAGACACTGGTGTGAGAGTGAGTGGCCAGACGATTCGGAATCGACTGCATAGGGGTCACCTTCGCGCCCGACGTCCTCGCGTGATCCCTTGTTTGAGAGATCATCACATTCAGGCAAGACGTCGTTGGTGTAGGGATCGTCAACACTGGGATAATCGACGCTGGAGCAATGTGATGTTTTCAGATGAGTCAGGGTTCACTGTTGATTTTTTGGACAGACGTAGGAGGGTGTGGCGTCGTCGAAACGAGCGCTTCCAAGACGTTAACGTCATCAGACATGATCGATTTGGGGGTGGTTCTGTTATGGTTTGGGGAGGCATCACAGTTGCTGGAAGAACGGCTTTACATGTTGTTGCAGGGCGTGTTACAGGCCAGTACTACCGGGACAACATCTTGGCAGTCCATGTTGTGCCGTTCGCACGACGTCATGGCCGCCGTTTCATCTTCCAGGATGACAACGCAAGATGTCACAGGGCCAGGATCGTTACAGGTTACCTCCAACAACAGAACATCACCACATTACCTTGGCCAGCACTGAGTCCCGACCTCTCCCCCATCGAGCATGTCTGGGACATGCTTGGACAGAGGTTACGTCAACGTCAACAACGTCCTGCCAATGTCCAAGAACTTGCTGCTGCGTTGCAACAGGAATGGGACAATCTGGACCAAAATGACCTTAGACGTCTCATTAGGAGTATGCCACGTCGGATCAATGCTTGTTTGGCAAACAGAGGAGGATTTACCCGTTACTGACTTGGTTGTGATGCTGTGGTAACTTTGCTGTTTGACCCCGAGTATCATTTTACCCTTATAATGGTCAGTCTGTGCCTTACTTAGTCTAACGATCATTTGGAATAAATCGATGAATGTGAACTTCATTTCATTTTGTCATTTGTTTCTTCGTCAGTTTCATTAGGTGACTTTAATAACACTTAAAAATCAAATATCCCCTACTTTTTTTGAATAGTATATTATTGACTAGAAGTAGTACTTAAAGGTATAGATACGTAATGGTAATATTTGAATTCAATCTGATTAAAATAAAGATCTATATTTCATTTCGTGTTTTATACTTTCGATGGCCTCCGACCAGTTGTAGTAGAAAGTCGCGTCAGAGGTCATACGAACGGCGTTTGACCCTATGACGTCAGACATAATATGATTAGCCAATCAGCGTTGACGTTTCTAGTAGATTACCCACAGTTCCGTGCACCTCACGTCAATAGGTCGCCGTAACAGACCGTTTCATTGGTTAATCACCTACATCATCCAGAACACGTCAATGATAACAACTCTTCCAGGTCCTAGTGTAGTAAAGACAAGTAAAACGAAATTTTGAACTATAAAAAAAAAGAAACGAAATAAAATCTGTTTTAATCAGACTGACTTGATTATATAAATTTTGTGATAAGGCTTACTTAACTGATGTGGCCTTCCGGGGTTTTAATAATATATAAAGGGTTATCAAGGATAGAGAAAATGTTTCACAGATAAATACAAAATGACACTAGGCGATTTCGAGAGCTTAGCAATCACGTATTTGACCCATTTTTTTTATTTAGTATCGTTAGGCCTTAAATTAGATATTTATTAGACATTTATTAACATGACAAGACCATAATCAACCCTTGATGCCATCGAATTGCTACTATTTTAAATGGTTTAATTTAAAAATGGAGAAGCGAGGCGAAGACCCGAATGACCAGTGCAGTAGTTACAATCAATGCCCGCATCTTCTCAAGACTACCATTGATAACGTCGCTCAAAATAAAGCTATTCATTTTGCATTATCTATTTTTGAAACATACGATTGATGGATTTCCATTCTAATATTTGTTTTAATTTTCCATATGTTGCTATGTTAATCTTTGTTAACAACAGAACAAAAATGTAGTTGTGCTTCTTGTCTAGACCGTTTGTGATAATTGTCTCCACCCCTTTACGTTCAAGTCCGGTTTCGTTAACAACGTTGTATTTTTAGGCGCGATTATTCTCCATATAGTCAAGCGTGACACCTTACTTGCTTTAAACTGAACTTATAAAACACATTAAAAACACAACACGTGCAGTTTATATGGAAATACAATCACTGGTTTATAGGCATAGCACGACGTTTCGACAGGTATTCTCTTATCGTTATCAAGCACAAATGATAATTAGTTAATGTGTGAGTTAGTTGTATTTTACGTCCGCTTCCACCGAGGTGATATCGCAGACAATATATATATAATTAGATTAGTTGTTGTTCTTAGTGTTTAACGTCCGCTTCCACCGAAGGTGATATCGCAGACAAGTTTTTTTTCCTCATTAACTTAGCGCACGCGCAGGGGTCATTCCTGTGGGAGGAAACCGGAGTACCCGGAGTAAACCCACGTGGTTGAGAAGGCGTCCCTTATCTCCAAGCCACATGCGCTCACGCCAAGGATCGAAACCACAGCCGCAAGGTGACTGGCCAGCTAGAGGTCGAAGCGCGGCACTCTAGACCACTAGGCCATCCCAACCCCCCGTATAATTAGATTAACTAAAAGGTGATATTTATAGTAAAACAAAAAAGAAGCCATAGACATGCTGTTATAAATGCCACTCAAGGATTATATAAAACACATATTGAAAGAAAAGCAGGGGCGGATCTAGGAATTTTGAAAAGGGGGGGGGGCGCTGCAAAATGAAGGCATTGACCGCGGAGACGGAGCACGCCGCTGAGGGTGGGGGGGGGGCGTCCCCAAGAAAATTATCCGTCATTTCCTTGCATCTGTAGCCATTCCAAGAGCTACTTCCCAGACTGGTGTGTTTAAGTCGATGGTTTGAGTCGTTTGGGATCCCTACAACGGGTTGGGAACGGACATATTTGAGTCTGAGAAAAGGCACTTTCAGCAGTAAAAAAGGGCACTGTCGAAAATTAGGGGGGGGGGGGCGCCCCTCGCGCCCCCCATTGAATCCGCCTCTGAAGAGGTAAAATAAAACAAACGAGGA